GACATCACAGCACCTTTCTGACATGGAAAATTTTCCGGATTTTTTCGGTTTTCATGTCCGGCAGGTAAAAAACTTAAAAAACCACTGTCGGCCACTTGAAAAAACGGCTATCAGGCCCCGTGGCCTAGGTTTCTCACTGCGCGGGAATTCAAATCCTCGGCCCTCGTAGCAACTTTTTTTTGATTTTTTTTTCGCTTTTAACGGCATTTTTCGGGGATTTCGGATTTTTTTCAAATTTTTTCGCTATAATATTGGGAAAATAGACAACTTTTTGAACATTTCAATGCAATAAAAATTTTTGGTCGGAGTCCTCCTTTAAATTGACCTTTTCGCGAAGTTCAGACTTTTCAAAAAATGCAAAAACTGGAAAAAAAAACCAGCAAAATTTACACTTTGTCAATTAAAATTTTTCAAAAATAATTTCTGTGGAAAAAGTGAAAAATTGTCTGAAATTCGCGAAAATCATTAAAAATATTTTTTAAAAATGCTAAAAACAAAAAGTACTGAAACTTGCAAAAAATCCGCGAAATTGCAACATTTTCCAAAACTTTTTTTTTCAAATTTCAGATTTTTCAAAAAAAAAATCAATGAAAATTTTCATTTTCAGTGAAAAAAGGTCCTAATTAAATTTTTGAATAAAAATTCAGTGCAACAAGCTGAAAATCGAAAAAAATCAACAAAAATCAAAAATTCGTAATTTAAAAATTGCGAATTTTCGCAAAACTGAGACACTTTCATACTTTTATCTTTTATGTAAACTGAAAATTAGCTTTGAAATTTTTAAAAACATGATTTTTGCGATTTTCAGACATTTTTTGACTTTTTGAAACTGAAAATTTGCAAAAACAGTTTCAGCCAAAAATAATAATTAAAATTTCCTAAAATTTTCGAAAATAATATTTTAATTTTTTTACTTTGTTTGGAAGTTTTGAAAAAAAGTTAGGATTTTCAGCTTTTATTCTCGAAATTTCGAGCTTCTTGCCTCCAAAAATTCAAGACAAATCAAAATTTCCCCCGATTTTTCAGAGATCCGACCCCATCCGCACTGCTCGTGACGTTCGTAAGAAGCATGCTGCTGCAACCACCACAACAACTACCCAAGATTGTTGAACTCGATATTTTTCTTTAAAAAGTGAAACTTTTATGTATTTCTAAAAAAGACCCGAATGCAAATGGACGACTCAAACACATAATAAATTATATATAGAACAGGAAAAACAGATATCACGAATTTTGGAAAAAAAAGGCAACTAGATGAATGGGGGAGGGGGAAAAAGGGACCCGTTTCGGCAAGACAATTGGTTTGTGATTGATTTCTAGGGGGAAGGGGACCGGATGATTTGAAAATTTCAAATTTCGAAAATAAAAAAGAGAAAAAATTGAATTATGATCTAATTTAAAAAACATTATTAATCCCTTCCGGCGGCCGCTTCACTGTCCACTATCGGTTTGTCGACTCGTTCGGGATCGTTGACCACTTGGACCGCTTTTTTGTACCATTCCACACCATTCTTATGAACGTCTTCTGTCTTTTTGGCGACCAGCTCGTCGGGTTTTCCTGGAAATTTGATAAATGATTTTTAGAATGATATAGTGTTGGAAATTTTTAATTCCAGAAAAAGATCTCAAAAATCTCAAGTTTGGGTTCAAAATGCCAGAATTTTCAAGAAATTCAAATTTTGAGCATTTTAAAGATTTTTCGAGGATACACATTTTTCCGAAAACTCGAAATTTTCAGATTTTGTGTTTGAAAAATCTGAAAAAAATGGTTTTCTGCTGATTTTCCTAAAAGTTTAGATTTTTCTGAAAATTCTAATTTTTTAGAGAAATTCAAAGTTTCTGGAATTTTTGATTTTTCTGAGAATTCTGATTTTTTGTATGAAAAGATCGAATTTGTTGAAAATTCCTAATTTTCAAAAATCTCTAATTTTCCGTGTATTTTCTGAAATTTTCGATTTTTCCGAAATTGTAAAACTTTTAGAATTTCTAAAATTTTTAGAATTCGATATTGCTTTTCGGTTTTCTGAAAATCCTAATTTTTCTAAAAGTTTCAATATTTCTAAAAAAGTATATTTTTTCGATTTTTAGTTGCCTGGGGCATCTACCCTCCAACCCCTTCTAAAGGTTCCCTCTAAACACGCAACGACACTCCGCTATCCCGCTCGGCGCGCGCACAATTTGAATTTAGTTTTGAGTGATTGCGAGCTTGGATTTGGCTCGTAGTTTTTGAGAGACTTTTTGAAGGATTTCAAGTGAGTTTGCTTGAATTCTAAGCTTTTATTTGTTGTTTCTTTCTAACTTGTTCATAATAAACCGATTTTGTTACATTTCTTGTTGATTTTCTTCTATTTTATCACAGGAACCTGATACCCCGGACATACCGCGGGCAATTTTTTTATATTTTTGATTTTTCTGAAAAGTGAATTTTATAACAAATTCTGTTTTTTTTCTGAAAATACCGTTTTTCTGAAATTTCCGAATTCTCTGAAAATTCCGACAAAAACTGAAAATTCTAGGCCACCTCTAGAATAGAGACGAAAACAAGGAATTTTCTATTTTGGCGGGAAATTCGAAAATCCTTGTTTTCAAAAATTGACAACTCCAGACTCGGCGATTTCTTCTTGAATTTTTTTTTCTTTACTTTATTCTGAATCTACCGTAAAACCTGCATTAGATGGGTCCCTCTAATAGAGGGGCCTCCTGGTAGTTTTCCTCAAATCTTCGAGTTTCTAAAAACAATTTCTCTTACCATAATTAGGCGGATTGGCATTGGGATCATATCCCAACCTCCTCAACATGGGTGCCACTGAATCCATATCTCTCACGACGTCTTCTGGAATCGTCCCCACCCATTTACTCAGCGCATCCAGATTCACTGGTTTCACAACTTGATCTGAGCTTCTTTCGACGTTAGATAAAGAGATATCCTTCCCAATCAACTGCTCATGATGAAGAACTCGGTCATCCCATGGGACATCCAAGAATTCTGTTATCCTCCTCATTTGGGCTTCTGGATGAAGAACCAGTTGTTCGTAGTAGACCTTGAGGCAGTTGGCACCAACCGATTCGCACTGATCTACCATGATCTGGAATTTCAAGTTTGGAAATTTTGAAACTCCGCCCAATAAAGATTTTTCAAAATGTGTAGAAAACGTGAATATTCATATAGAAACAAAGAAAAAATTGAAAAATATCGAAAAATCGCTTTTTGGGAACTTCTGGAAGGTTCTAGAATCTTTTTTTTTTTGAATTCCCGCCAAAAATGAAATCTCCGAAAAATTTCTTGCGATTTTTCTTCAATTTTTATGCAAAATTTTTAGACCTTTTCGGGTTTTTCGGCTATTTTTGGCGATTCTTTTTCGATTTTTTTTAATTTTTTCTCTGAAATTTGATATGAAGATTACTGTAGAAATCGAATTTTCCTTCGTATTTTTTTTCGTCTGCAATTTGACGTGATTGTGTTTGCGGATAAAAAAAAACAACAAAAGAAAATTCGGTTTCTACAACGATCTACAGTAATCTTCCGGTCAAGTTTAAGACAAAAAATTCGGAAAAAATCGATAAAGAACCTTCAAAAACATCTGGAAAACCTAAAAAGGTCTAACAATTTTGCGAAAAAGAAAAATCGCAAAATTTTCAGAGCTTTCAGTTTTGGCGGTATTTCAAAAAAAATATTCGAAAACCTTCCGGAAGTTTCCAGAAATGCGATTTTTCGATTTTCTTGAATTTTAACTTTATTTTTAAGCGATTCTACATGCTTTTCTAACCATTTTGATGCATATATTTTTTTCTTGAAAGTTCAAAAAATTCAAATTCTCACCTGAATCGCCGCATTCCACTTCGTCATACACTGCCTAAAATCGTTCAAATCGAATCCCGTAATCGTCACTTTTCTGGATATAATACTGTTTACTGTAGCCCGCCCATCTCGAATCATCAAAAGATATTTGGCATTTGGAAACAATTCTTTCAGGTAGACCGCCGATTTCATTGTGAACGGATCCTTATTGCAGAGGCGGGGCGCACGGTCGCCATGGCCTACGATGACCTGGAAAATGAAAATTTGGTTTTCTAGGCCATCATGTAACATGTATTCTTTTGACACAAATTTCTCGGAATGAATACATTTTAACATGATGGCCTAACTTTTGCAGGCTGAGTTTTCCAGGCCAACATGATAAAATCGCTTAGAATTGGTCTTATATTCACATTATGTGTTTCTAGGTCATTTTGAAGTAGTGGTCTCTTTTGCTAGTTCAGTTTTCTAGGCCACCATGGTAAAATATCATAGAAATGGCCTCTGGTGTTTTCTATGATATTTCACAATGGTGGCCTAGAAAACTCAGCTTGCAAAAGTTAGGCCACACTTCCAAATGATCGATCCTGTGCCTACCTCCATAATAAACGAACTGATTGCATTATTGATAACCTCTCCGGTGACACCTGCTTGCTGCAACCGATTCCATTCCTTTTCTGACTTCTTCCATTGCGATCGGAGATTCAGAATACGTGGAATGACACGTGTCTCCTCTCCACATCGAACATCGGGATGGGCGTCTAGCATGGCTCGCATTAGCGTCGTCCCGGAACGAGGAACACCGCCTGGAACATATAATTTCGGTACAAAGAATAGAAACTACCGTAAAACCTGTAATAGAAGGGCCCCCCTAATTTTCAACTTTGAGCCAATTTATCTCGGTCTCTGAAAAAGATATAAAAAATTGATGAACAGATAAATTGTTTATCATAATATCCTATGCATTTTATCAGGTTACACATTTTTCACATCTCTTATAGGAGCTGAGTGATAATTGAGCTCAAACTTGGCAGTGTGGGGGCCCTTCTAATACAGGTTTTATGGTATTTTTAGTTTTCTCCATTTCTGTTCGCTTTTAGTCAATTTTTCTCAACTTTAGATTACGGTATTTGTCGATGTGGGACCTTCGACCGTAGCGACACCGCCTGTGATTTGAAAATTTTCATTTTTCATTTGATTCCCATGTTTATTAGGACAGGAAAAATTGATCTCTCGAATTTTTTGACAGGTTGTTGAGTTCAATGATAACAGGAAAGAGTGTGACGGAGTTGGCGGGTTGGGGCTACTGTAACTATACGTGTCATAGTTAGAGAGCGGGTGGGGCAGAGGAAAAGTGACACCAAAGAGCATGTTCTCTGAGTTTGGAATCTAAACTTTGGATTTTTAGCAAAGACGCTCTATTGGAAAAATTAAGATAATCAAGGAAAGACGAAAATTCCGAATTTTCAAAAAACAAATGTTCTTAAAATCATTTTTCGAATTTTTTTATAAATCGAAATATAGGAAATTTCGAATTTTCCGAGTTTCAAAAAATTTTTTTTTGAAAATTTCAGGAATCGAATTTCTTTCAACTTATTTTTTGAGATTTTTTGAAAGTTTTTGAAATTTTCTGAAAATCAGTTTTCAAAATTCTTAAAATTTAAGTTTTTTTGAAAACCAAATAAAACTTTTTTTCGAAAATTTAATTTTTCTAAAAATCTTTTTTTTTTAGTTCCTAAATTTTAAGTTTTTCTGAAAACCAAAAGTTAGGATTTTCGCTGAAAATCCAATTTTTGAATTTTTTTGAAATTTCAAATTTTCTGTAGAGCGCACTTTCCCCACTCATCCTACAACAACTACATAATCTCAAACTAGATATTTCCCATCATTTCTCTGAGATTGACATTTCAAATGTTTACGCTTTCTTTTTCCAGACATGGAATGTTCTCAATGTGTCCTCACTGATAAGGAATTTTTATATTTATTCGGAGGGAAGGAATGCAGATTACTGTAGCCATGTCACAGTTCCTAAAGAAGTAATCTAGCTGACCAACGAGCACTGTTTTGATGTGCAGGTTTTGAAGAATCAATGATTATCAACAAACTGATAAATACTGATTATTGACAGTTTTTCTCATTTTTTGTGCTCTAAAAATAATAATTTCAAGTAAGAATTCCCCTTCTGCGGACATTCGGACAAACCGAAATCCATCAACTTTTCCCCAATTACACCTCTTGACCCATATTTCCTCCTCTTTTCTTATTCAATTTGTCCATCCATATATTACCTATGAATATGAAAGGCGACGTTCTATTGTATCCGTCATCAGCCTGAACGGCTAATTGTCGGGGTCTGTCGATTTCGTCGTCATCGCCGCTTCTGAATTTGCCACGCCGACTACTGTAGTATGGGTCGTCGGATGTTCTGGAAGTATTGGATTTTTGGGAAAAAAATATGCCAAATTGGAATTTTGTGGAGGATTACTGTACAGCGAGGATTTTTTGAAAAATTCGGAATAGTCCGAATTTCTAAATTTTGGAAAATTTCAGAATTTTCAATTTTCCAAATTGTCTGAATTTCGGAAAAGTCCAATTTTCGAAATTTCGAAAATTCGGTGAATTCAGAATTTTCCGATTTTCAAAATTTCGGAATTTTTCTAATTTCAGAAGTTAAAAGTTATCCGATTTCAGAATTTCGGAAAATTCCGATTTTTCGAAACTTTGGAAGATTCTAATTTTGAAAATTATGGAATTTTTCGATTTCACAATTTCGGAATTTCGGAAAAACAAATTTTTTTTCGGAATTTTCCCATCAAAAAGAAACGAAAAAAATTGTTCAAAACGTCAAAAAAAATATCAAAATTAATTCCGCTCGAGACCCACAATTAAACTTTTGGGCATGCGCCTTTAATATCTACCGTAATCCTTAAAGGATCATGGGTTTCTCGTAATTGTCTTCTCACCTATTTTTTCGATTTTTCGCCAAATTTCGAAGATTTTAAACTGTTTTTTCTCAAAAAAAAAAAACGGAAAAATCACTAAAAATTTCGAAAAAATCGAAGAAAATAAGTGTTTTAAAAACAACAAAAAGAGTGATTCAGAAAATCGGAAATTTTGGAATTTTCAGAATTATGTTTCGAAAATCCCGGATATACAGTAATCAACAGTAATTTTCAAACCAAAAAACACAGAAAAATCGAAATTCAATGACACAAACTCCATCATTTATTTTGTGACTTCTTCGAAAATGCTGCCTACCTGGATGTGATAAAATAGAAAAGAATGAAGGCGACCAAAAACAGAACGAGTAGAAATTCCCGATTTTTTCTCATCATTCGAAGATTCATACAAGTGCTATAAGTGCATGGGAGAGGCTGAAAATATATAAATTCAGAGAATTCTTATACGGAAAAAAAAGTATGAGGAGAGTGTAGAAGTGAAATGTGGAAGAAGAATTGATGGGAAGAAAAGTGAGAGAGAGAGAGAGAGAGTGGAGAGACGCAGAGATATCGAGAGCGCCAGATGGATGGATGATTCGGGAATTGGGAGATAAATCGAAAAACGAAAAAGAAGGAGGTGAATAGATAGTATAGGATAAGGTGGAGAATGATGTGGAGGAAGGAGATGTAGTTTGGAATAAGAGACTTCTTTAGTGCCCAACAGGGTCGCTTAGAAGAAAAAATGGGGATAATTATGCTAATGATACCATAAAGAAGGTTTGTAACTCGTCAGGATTATGGTAGCTCCCCTAATCATGTTTAACAAAAAGGAATTTTTGGTGAAACCGTAAAAATTTAAAATAGTCTGCTGAACATCCAGATCATTTATCTCGGTTCCTATGCTAAAGATCCAAAAGTTGTCAGCTGATAAAATGTTTTTTTCATAATATCACCAACATTCTATCAGTTGAAAGATTTCCGATATCTCTCATAGCAACCGAGATAAATTAGCTCAAAGTAACAAATTTAATCACCAGGTATTGAAAATCCTTATTTTATTAGGAAAGATAAATATTACTACCGTAATCCTTGGGAATGACAAACCTCTTTTCTGGAACCTTCTACCATTTTTCAAAAAAAGTACAATTCAGAACATTTTGAATGACTTCAGAATGTTCTATCTATCGTATTTGATCCGAAGCCTATCCTATACGTGCATTTTGAGCTCAATTATCGCGTTTTCTAGAAGAGATATCAAAAATCTATCAACTGATAAAATATCAGCCATATTATGAAAAGTAATTTATCAGTTGACAGATTTTTGATATCTCTCATAGGAAACGAGATAAATGAGCTCAAAGTGAAAGTATAGGGTGAGTTTCTATTAGAGCAATAAAGCCATTTTTTGATCACTAAAAAAACTTGAAACATTTTTCTCAAACTTCCGATTTCGTCTCTTCTACCGTAATCAAGTGTGCGTGCACAATGTCAAAATGCAATTCAAATTGTGCAAAAAATTCAGATGATTGAATTGTGAGTGACTAGAGAGAAATGCATGTGGTTTGGTTTTTCTAGCTCAGCCAGCAAACATGTAATTTTCTAAACCACAAGTGATATCACTTCCCCAAAATCAATACCTAATCATTGATTAAATATCTCCCCAGTTATCAATTTTACAAGAAACTTTTCAACTACAAAAATGAAGCATTAGTTTTGAGAAGTATTTTCTGGAATTTTCAGAGGAATTGAATAAGTTTGAGTACATTTTTTGAGCGATCCAGAAATATGTATTTTGAAAAAAAAGGTTTAATCTTTCTTGAATAGAGACGCAGATATGCATAACGATCAGTTGAAAGGATAACGACTTTCGAAGAAGAGGGAGAAGGTCGCCACTGAATTAAGGACGACGCACTAACGACATACTGATTTCTGGTCGACAGTATTCATTGTTTTTTTTTGTATAGTTACAGTAATCCATGAGGTCACAATTCAACTAATTAGATATTTATGCCAGATTGAAAAGATTAATAGAGGAACTATTTGGAGGTTGATTAATATCTTATGGAAATTCATTCTACAGAACTTTCTAGGAGGGGAGAATTTAATTTAATTTGGTGACTTCAGAAGACTCTAGAAGACGAGCATTTTTCAAAGTTCGGTTTTTGAGGAAAAAAAAATTGAATGTCAAGAATACGTTAAAATTAGAGTGATGACGTAGAAAAAAGAGCCACCAATGCGATTAGTTTGCATATTTATTAGGTCAGGGTGGAATCTGAACGAGCCAATTTTGAACAAAAATACAAATTTTTCAAAAAAAAAAGAAAAATATGGGAAATTTAATGATTTCATTCAGAAAATATCGCATTGAAATTTTCCGAGAATCATAAGCTGGGACATCCAAAAAAGGGCCAAAATTGAAATTCTAGGAAATCCATAGCTTTCAGATTTTTCATTATTATTCTGCAAAAAAAGTTGGAACTGTAGAAGAGAAACGCCGGTGGCCGTGGTCGGAGGTCCCACAACGGCAACCTAAAAATCTAACCTAAAAATATCTTAATTTTCCGGATCTATTTTCTCGATTTTTGTACATTTTCAGTCAATTTTCCCGACTTTTAAAGGGAAAAATGACAGAAAACTCGGCGAAAATCAGTGAAAACCGGGGGGGGGGGGGGGGGGGGAATCCGGAAAATAACAATATTTTTAGGTTACGGTAGTTGTCGCTGCGGGACCTTCCGCCACGGCTATCGGTGTTTCTCTTCCATAGCATCGATTTTTTGAGCGAAAATAACAATTTTAAACAATAATCGAAATTTCCCGAAAAAAGCGAATTTGAGTACATCTTTTCAGAATACTAGGGTTTTCTAGAACCCAAAAAGTGCGTCAAATATAAAAATTGAAATTTTAGAATCTGCCAAATTTCAGGCGATTTTTCTCTATTTTTATCTTTTATTTCATAAAGAGCGAAATATAATTTTAAGGAAAAAGGACAATTATTGGTTCAGCTGTCCCAAGTTTGCTCAGCTAGATGCAAGCTATATTATCGAGAATTAAAGAAAAAACTTAATCTCAAAAAAGTAGGAAAAAACAAGAACAGCGTGTCTCTGCTCTCTCTGGACGAACGAAAATTGTGGAGTATGTGAGAAGAAGGAAAAGAGAGAAAAAGCAAGACTAATCAAGACGCAAAAAGGAAGGCTTGTTGGGGTGACTGACCAACAACTTTTTTCCTTTTTTTCTGCCGTTCATCGTTGAAAAAAAGAAGCAATTTTGAACGAGTTCTAGAGAGCGAATTTTTGTAGCAAAATTTTTGAAAAAATCGTATATTTAGGGGTGAGAGAATGTTATCTTCTGAATAGATATATATGACGAATAGAGCCGTAAACATACTTACACATCTTTCTGCTTCTCTTTTCTTTTTACTTTTGCTCAAATATTTGCACAAAATCAATTTCTAGAGGGTTAGCGATGAAATAAAAGAGAAGAGAAAGATGAATGATTTGGAGGATGGGAACGGGATAGTTAGACTTGGGAAATTTGAATTTTCCCTTTTTTTTTGGAAATTTTTCATGATTTTTCAACGATTTTCCGATATGTTCTTTTGTTTTTATGCGATTTTTTTTGGCGAAAAAAATCGTTAAAATCGATGAAATTCATCGAAAAATCGAAATATTCCGAACGGAAAATTTTCGATTTTTATTTCCATTTTTCGACGAATTTCGACAAATTTTAACGATAATTTTCATCATTCTAATGCAATTTTTCGTTTAAATATAGTTCAAAATCTGAGAATTTTATCGAAATTCCGACAATTGATTATGTACGGTAGTTAAAGGCGCGAGCCAAAAGTTTTCTTGCGGGCTTCGAGTGGAATGCATTTTAATTCAATTTTTTGTGTTTTTCATTGGATTTTGACTAATTTTTCGGGAAAACTCCGAAAAAACTCCAAAATTTTGAAAAAATCGGAACATTCCAAAAAATTAAAAATTCTAGAATATTTTTATGCTCCCATGAGAAAAAAAGTTGTTGAAAGAAGGCTGAAGACGTAAATCTGACAAATGTCTTTTTTCCGGAGGAAAAAAGACAGAATATTCAGAGAACCTGTCATAAATCATGGGACCAGAACTGACTGAGAAGAGCTCTCTTTTTTTGGCTTTTCCCCTAAGAAATCCCTAAAAATCCTCACATAAATCTGGGACGACCTGTCATAATCCGTCGTGGGGTGAGAAAGAAAGGCAATTTGCGAGAAATTCGAAGGAAGTTGGTGTCCGAACGAAAGAGAGAGCGAAAAGGATCGGGAGGCGCGGAGGGAAGTGTAAAAAGAATGGAGAATTAGAGATAAAATGTGTCCTTTGCTATGTGAATGAAAGTGGTCAAAACAGGTGAAAGGGGAAAGTTAAACATTGAGGGAGGCGACGAGGTGTTTTTCGAACAAAAAACATATAAATTTTAGTAAGTGCGGCTGGCGCGCCTTTGGCGTGTTGAAGCGAAAAATCGCTTAATTTTATATGAATCGACATTTTTTTTCTACGCATTTAATTTTCAATATCTTCCTTATATATAAAACGCTAGACGTATCTGTTGGTGTTAGTGTCCGGCTGACCGGTTTTGGGTTTAAAATAAGAATTAGGCCGCCGCCAAAACTGAACCCGCGGCCCTTCGGACAACGACTGTGCATGCACCCAGTTGTGCCATGAAGGTCACACCAGGAAAGAGAAGGGAGGGCGTACATGTTCTACCTCTTGAGAAAGAGAAAGCGAAAAGTGAGGGGCGGAGCGACAAACCAGTAAAAATATTGAATTGCGCCGAAGGCGCAGCAGCCAGTAGGCTGGTTTTGAAACAAAAAGTTTGGCAAAAACTGGAAAAAAAATCGAAGATGAAGGTCCACAACGACAACTACAGTAACCTGAAAATATTTAGATTTTCCGGATTTTCTTCGCTTTTTTTAGCTCATTTTTGTCGATTTTTCTGTTAAACAAATTGACAAAAAACGCACGAAAATCGAGAAAATAAAATCAGAAAAAATTATTTTTAGGTTACTGTAGTTGTCGCTGTGGGATCCAAAACACCTATTTTTCCTTTAAAAATTTTCTACCTATTTTTTTGGAAAATAATAAACTGAAACTCAAAAAAAAATCAAAAATGTTTGAAAATTCTGAAAAAGTGAATTTCAGACATTTTTTCAAAAAACGAAAATTTTGAATTCCTCAAGAAGAATGTCGAAAATCTGAGAATTCACAGTTTGGCAGAAATTTAAAAAAAGGATTTTCAGAGATTTTTTTCAGAGAAAAGTGCCGGAAACGAAATTAATTTTATAAATTTTCAGAATTAATGGAAATTCGGGATATTTTCGCACAGCAAAGCGATATTCCGATTTTTCGAAATTTGAAAAAATCGGATTCTCTGAATTTTTTTTGAAAATTTTCATATTTTCCACACATGCAGACTCAGTGCAAGGCACTCAATTTTTGTACTGAGTCTGCATACACCGAAGTCGCAGTTTTATAATTCTGACAATATTACAGAAAAATAGTGAGAGCGAAACTTTATTTTTCTGTCCATTCATCCTCTTTTTGAGCTTATTCTTTCCGAGCCTTGTTTTGGCGGTTAGAACACTAAGCATAGGGCTCGCACAGCCACGTGTTTTCGGCTAAAAGTTTTCAGGTGAAAACTGAAAAAAAAATCGATATTCAGAATATTTGAAATTGCTCAGCATAAGAGTTGAATTCTTTAATTGAACTAATTCTTTCCGCGATGCGGGGAAGAGGCAAAAACCTCATTATTTCTATACAAGTGGACATCAACACAAACAAATTTTGTTTACAGGATTTTTAAAGAAAATTGAGAATTATAGGTGTAAATAACTGGAAAAAAGGGGGCAAATAAGAATTAAAAGCACCGGAATTGTTTAAAAATTAATTTTAAAAAATGGAAAAAAAACATTAAAATAGCACTGAAATTGTATTAAAAAAGGAATAATTTCTCAACACTTCAACAACAAAAACTGTCAAATTTCAACTTTTCAGATTCCAGCACAAAACACAAAAGAGCAAGCAAAACATGAAAAAAGTCAATCATAACCGACCAAACATTATACTTTTTATCATTTTTTCTTCATTTTCTTGTGATGAATAAAATATTCTAGCTTGAAAATATATGACCAAAAGTGACCGAGAACAAGTTTTTGGCAGATGGAAAGGAGGAGGAAAATTGTTTCGTTTTTTTTTTCAAACAAAAAAAGAAACATGATGAAAACATAGAACCGGATTGGGCCTCCTGTTTAAAATGAAACAGAAAAAAACGACTCAAATGATATTATCTTTTCTCCGAAAAGATATTTTTTCTAGATTTTCTAAAAATTCTTTTCCAAGTCAATTTCTAGGTCGCCGCTCATCAAAAATTGATGGCGAAGAGCTGAGCAGAAACCAGTGAAAAATGCACTTTTTTGAAAGAGAAAGAGATAGTCCAAAGGGAAGGAAACCATACATTTCAATGGTTTTTAATGAAAAAATAGGGAAAATATATTTTGAAAAACGATGATTTATATACAAATAAAGAGTTTTTTTCGAGATTTTGAGATTCTTCCGTGGAGAAAAGATCATTGAGAGGTCTAATTAGTGGCCGAAAATTTGAGAGTGGGCGGAGCTTAGGGGTATGTATTTTTTGTAATTTTTTCTGGTTTTTTTCCGATTTTCAGATAGATTTTGACGGTTTTTTGATAACTTCAAATGTTTTTATGCGATTTTTTCGCAATTTTTCGAGTATTTTTCCCGGAAAATACCGGAAAAAAAACTTGAACTTTCTTTACAAAAATCCGAGAAATCTTGAAAATTAGGCCAGAAAACAGTTTTTGAAACATTTTTCCCACTTTTCGGCGATTTTTATGGTCTTGTGCCATTTTTTTTTAATTTAAAATTTATAAAAATTTAGAGATTTTTTAATAATCCGAAAATCATTAAAAATTACCGAATTTTCGTTCAATCTAGCCGTTTTCTGTTCAAAAAAAAATATCGAAAAAACCGGAAATTTCATCGTTTCAATGCTTTTTTTGTGATTTTTTTTTCAAATTTTGCGAAATTTTAAAATTGATGAAATTCATCGAAAATCGTAGGAAATTGTGTTTTTTTTTCACAAAAAAATTGCATAAAATCAATAGAAATGTGCTGAAAACTCGGAAAAAAAAGACCCGAACCCCGCAAAAACAGGCGAAAATAGACTTATGAGATTTTTTTAGATTTTGCCCATTTTAGTGGAAAAAAGTTTGGAATCAAAAAAAAAAGAGAATAATTACGAAAAAAACATGCTCCTTTAAGGATTTAAGCTCCGCTAGCTCTCACATTTTCGACCGCATTGATGACAGACCAGAATAACAATAATAAATAGAAAAAATAAATTAAAATGCTCTTCTTCATCACTCTTCTTTCTCATCATCATCAGCCATCGGATCTGATTCCTCATCGCTGCTCGATGGATAATTGACATGTCCCTGAGTCCGTGCGACGCCTTCGTCTACACCACCACCATCTTCTGCTCCCCCTTCTACGATTTCCCATCTGACACTATCCGCCTCCAAATCTGCCCTCAGAAGACGTTTAAGCTCTGTTTCCACCTCTGGCGCATCCATCAGTTTCTTCTTTTTAGTCTTTCGAAATCTCTTCTTTCGGGCACATTTCATGGGAGGGGTTAGGCCATGTGGATATTGCCATTGCTTTGCAGCCTTCTTTGCGGCCGCTTGAGGATCTTCTGTGACATCGGAGAGAGCTGAAAAATTAATAATTCATCTTAGAAACTTGTGCCTCTTTCTACCGTACCTGAAGGCGTAATCGCATTGATCGAATCATGGGTACAAACTAGAATCTGCGAGACATCGGCAACTTTATAAAGACTCTTGTCATCCAACGTTTTGTGGACCTCCGTGATTGTAGGCAAGTCTAAAATCTTTCCATTCAATAGTCGATTCCCGATACGAAGTGTGGAGTTGCGAGCGTCGCTGTTTAGATTTATAGCGAAATCTTCAACCTTTCCATCTGTTTCAATGATTTTTTCGATGCGATCTACACAATCTTCTGGAACACGAAGGACGATGTGAGATTCGAACTCTGGTGGATCATCGGTTGGTGTTGTGATTGGCGCTTCTTCGAATACTTGGGGCTGGAAGCTATTGTTTTCGTGAAGAAGCAAAAAATACGAAAAACTCACTTTCGGACCTCTTTTCAGCGGAATTCTGGTGCCCGATGCCAACGACATAACTACCTGAAAATGCTAATTTTATTTTAGAATAGATTATGTCAAGGATTTTCGGAACGGAATTCCGGAAATTCCGATTTTTCGGAATTATCAGACTACAGTATGTCAAAGGCGCACGCCAAAAATTCCTTATCGGACACCAAGCGGATTTACTTATTTACTGTATGTCAAAGGCGCATGTCAAAAATTCTCTTGCGGATTCGAGCGGAATTACTTTTTTTTTGCATTTTTGGAATTTTTTGGTTAATTTTTCATCTGTTTTTCGCGATTTTGCAATAGAAAATGGAATTTTCAATCAAAAATCGAAAACTTCTAAAATTTTAAAAATCGGAATATTCAGAAGTTCCGAAATTTTGAAAATCCGGATATTCTGAAATTTCGAAAATCGACATTCTAAAAAATTCCGAAAAGGCCGTTCCGAACATAACAGCCTCTTCTTTAAGCAGAAAACTTCGAAAAAAAAACAATTGAAAACAACTTGTCCGTGTGGAGTACACCTCGCCGCGGACTAGGTTTCTCCAGCACTTTTCTCTTCCATTTTTATTTTTTGCAATTTTTCAGATTTTTCTGGGAATTTCAGACTTTTTTCAGCTAACTTCTCAAGTAAAAATTTTCAGAAACATGAAAATCAAAGAGGAGTTCATCTCAGCTAGTGTTAATCCACGCTCTCACTGCCTGGTGGCCTGTAAATCCGCCCCTCTGGTCGTCTACGCTTCCTCACTTCAAATCGCGGTTCAGACTATTCCTAATGTGAGTTTTCTTTCTAATTTGAAGAAAAAATATGCGGATTTTTCAGAATGATTCAGAAGTTGGAGTAATTCGAAGCACATCCGAGCGACGTCATCAGAAGCCGATTGCAGTGCTAAAACGGCTCAAGTCAGCGGCTAACGTCGATGAGTTTGTATCAGGAGACGTCGGATCGCGAGTGGTTTTGTGGAAATTGAATGGAGAGAAAGTAGAATACGTGGCAGATCTCTCTGGGTGTTCTGGAAGTGTCGGAAGTGTTTGTGGAGTTGTCGAGAGCAATAGGAAGGTTGTAGCGGCTTCTTGGGTGAGCAAAAATTCAAAATTTGGGGATAAATCTAACTCTTTCGGTTTTTCCAGGTCCAATACCCAAATAACGGATTCGAAGCATGGTGGACAACATCATCTGGAGATCTAGTGCATTCTAGGAAAATCGATCTGGATCAGAAGGCCTTTGCCCTTTGCCTAGACGCTATTTCCCTTCAAAACACAGTTTTATTGGCGGTAGGAACGTCGAAACGATTCGTGGAGCTTTATGGAGAATCAGATGATAAGAAGACGTTCAAACGACTAGTTTCAGTGGCAGGACACACTGATTGGATTCACTCGATTGCCTTTAACGATAACCCATTCCATCTTCTAGTTGCCTCTGCTGGTCAGGACACCTACGTCCGGCTCTGGTCAATTGAACCAGAATCCGGACCTCATCATGAAGCCCCGAAGATTCCAGCAGCAGAAGAGGATGTTCTAGATGAGCTGACGTCTTCTGCAAACCTCTTCCAATTCAACAACTCCTCCTATCGATGCAGCTCTCATGCCGTAATGCAGGGACATGATGATTGGGTGCATTCGACGGTGTGGAGTGAGAATGGGCGGGTTTTGTTGACGGCTTCTAGTGACAAGACGTGTATTATCTGGAGGGAAATCGATAATTTATGGAGAGACGATGTCAGATTGGGAATTGTTGGAGGACAAGCGGCTGGATTCTTTTCGGCTGTGTTTTTGAATTCACATAAAAATCGTAGGTTTTTCTCTTTTTTATTAAGTGTTTTACAGAATTTTTGAATTTCCGTTTTTCCCCCATTTTCTCTGCAATTCTGTAGGTTTCTTAAATTTTTTTCCTTTGTTTCTAACACTCTGAAACCCGAAAATCCGCCGAAAACGGCTTCAAAACGTAATTCGCCGATTTTTCCCCAAAAATCACTTAAATATGTTTCAAACTGCGTTTTCTCGAGACTTTCTTAATTTTGCATCGATCTCCTCTTCCTAATTAGCATATTCTCAAAATGTTCGTCACAAAATATTGACTTTCTCGAGTTACAGCTCATTTTTGCTCAATTTTTCTTCAAAAGTCGCGCGCGGCGCGGAAAAGTGGGCGGGCGAAGTGGGCGCAAGCTTGCCGCGCGGAAAATCGGTGAATTATTTTCTCATGCTATTGGCGCCATTTATCGGCGGATTTTCGACATTTTCGGGTCGCGGAGTGCTAGAACAAAGAAAAAAAAGTGTAAAAACGAAAAATAGGCTCCGCGCCCTTTTTTCTGTAATCTTATTCCAGGCAGCTTAAAATTTTCAGATTCCGATTCGGATTCTGAAGATGTCGTCGCCAGCTCTTCTTACTTCGGTGGCCTTCACGCGTGGAAGTCTTCTGATGAGCAGCGAACATTCTGGACGTCTCTTCCGATGACCGGTGGTCATGTCGGAGAGGTTCGTGACGTGGATTGGCATGAATCGTCGTTTTTGATATCAGTTGGACAGGATCAGACGACTCGGGTGTTTGCGAAAAGTGAGAAACAGGTAAGAACCGTTAGGCGATTTTTTGGGTTTTTGTGTTTAAAAATGTTCAAAATTCGTCGAAAACCCGAAAAAAATAAGCTCCGCCCCTTTTCTCCCTCCCGCTAACTATAATTTTGATTTTTCAGCAAGTCTATCTGGAAATGGCTCGTCCACAAGTCCACGGCCACGATATGCAGTGTCTCTCTTTCGTCAATCCATCGGTATTCGTCTCTGGCGCTGAGGAGAAAGTCTTCAGAGCTTTTCGAGCTCCAAAATCGTTTGTTAAAAGTCTTGAAACTCTCACTGGAGTCCCCTCCTCAAAATCATTCGGATCCAGTCGAATCGCCGAGTTTGGAGCGTGCGTTCCAGCTTTAGGACTCTCTAACAAACCAATGATCGAAGGAGAAACTGTGGATGGAGAGCATTGGGAGGAGGATGCGTTCAGAGCAGCACCAACTGTGCTAGAAACCGCACCAACTGAGGATACCCTTCAACAGAACACTCTTTGGCCGGAAGATCATAAACTGTATGGTCATGGTTATGAGGTTTATGCAGTTACTGCGAATCCACGGGGTACTGTATTGGCTACTGCTTGCAAGTCTAGCCACGTGGAACACTCGGTTGTCATGCTTTGGAAAACTGAAGATTGGTCTAAGCAAGCGGAAATTGTTGGACATCAGTTGACGGTTACTCAAATCGCTTGGAATCCTTCTGGAACTGTGTTGTTGACTGTTAGCAGAGATCGAACTGCAAAGCTTTATAAAGAGAAGACTGGGAATTTGGATGGATTTGCGTATGAATGCGTTTGGACATCTGGAAAGCAGCACACTCGTATTATTTGGGGTTGTGATTGGCTTGATGACCAGCGATTTGTGACTGCTGCCAGAGATCAAAAAGTTATTGTATGGCATTCTGAAGGGACACCAAAAGCTCAAATCAAACTTGATGAGCCTGTGACTGCTGTGGCCGCTAGTGGAGACGTGATCGCTGCGGGTCTTCAAACTGGAGAACTTGTTATACTCCGAGTAAACGGAGAAAATCTGGAGATTGTCGAAAAAGTTGGAACCAATCCGATCCCGATTGATGCTGCCATTTTACGCCTACGTTTTTCAAAGTGTGGAAAGAAGTTGGCAGTCGCCACTAGCGATGCCAAATTACGAGTTTTTGAAATCAGTGAATAGTTTTTCCCTGTGATTCTGTTGTTTTCTATGTCATTGTTAACTGACTTGTTCTTGTTGCGATTGGTTAAATAAAACTAATTTTTCAAATGAAGAAATATTTATTTTCCAAGCTTTCAAAATTTAAAAATCCATTTCGAAACCTACCTGGCTGATTCATATTAGCACACCGAACTTCTTTCAGAAGCACGGCGCACAGAACATGGCGGAAACCTTCTCTTATTAGTTGGTATGGGAGCACACGGGTAAAAAAGGGACCCCCAGGGGAACTAATTTTGGCTAGTGAAGTGTCGGAAGCCATAACTGCCAACATTTCACTTGTAATGACTCTTTCCCTAAACCTTTCTTTTCCGCAATTCCTAGGCGTTTTTGTGTTCTTTCGCAAAAGGCCGGGTCGATCCGCGATCGATGGTTTCCCCTGTTTGATCGGAATCCCGCGATCCTTCAGTCACTGGATACTCCCTAGTTTGTGAATCCCCGCAAATAGATTGATAAGAGCAAAGGGTCCTCCTCCAAATAGTTTTGATTTGAGCGGAGGCTGAAACATAAAATTTTATTCTCAGTTCCAACAAAAATTATTAGATAGTGTATAGGGATGGATGGGAGAGATGGAATACTGAACTTAGACGTTGGGATTGGGAAGAGAGAAATCAAAATGAGGAAGAAGTGTATCCATAACAGAAAAGAAGAAAACAGTGATTGTAAAACAACAGTCGTCATCTCCTATCTTATGAGTGATTCATATGGTTTTGTGGGTAAAAATATTTAAACGAACAAGAGAACATGTAGATGGAATTTTAAGAGAGAAACGGAAGTTATCAACAATAGTTCAACTTCAAAAGATTAGGCGGTTTAACCGACGATTAGATGACAAAAACCTTTCAGAAGGCTGAAATTGCAAAACGCTACCGTTTCTGGTTGAGCCGAAGCTCGCTCGTTGTGGCTCGCTTATTGTGGAGACGGCGAGCGGGATGGGCTGCGAGAAACCGAACGAGAGCGAGAGCGGGAACGGCTACGGGAGCGAGAACGACGTGGAGAGTACTTTGGCGAAGCACGACGCTCGGCACGTGGTGAGCGAGAGCGGCTGCGATCACGATCACGACCACCACCTCCGCTTCCTCCGGCAGATGAGTTGTCCTCGCGAACACGAATGTATGCAGTTTCTCCCTGAAAATTACTATAGTTTATAAAAATTGGTTATCAACATTCTTACCTCATGGGATCGGAACTTGGTGTCGTCCAACTTACGAATAGCGTACTTGACGTCGTCGTAGCGAGTGAACTCAACTACTCCGGTTCCGTCGCGAGCAACATCGGCATAGCAGACGTCTCCAGCCTCACGCATGTGGTCTTTCAGATCCTGCCACGATCCGGTTGGTGGAAGTCCTTCAACAATGACGCGGTATCCAGTTCTTCTTTGTGGTCCACCTTGACGACCACCACGTCCTCCACGATAGTCACCGCCTCCACGGTAGCCACCTCCTTCCTCGTTGATTGGGCGACCGCCTGGTCCTCGTGGTCCGACTCCACGAGTGAACTCGACGCGAATACGGCGTCCATCGAACTCGTAGCCGTCACGAGCGCGGACTGCATCCTCTGCATCTCTGAACATATAATAGATTGGTACAGGTTGAAGAGATATATTGAAGAGGTTCTCACCTGTTGTCCTCGAACTCGATAAAAGCGAATGCTGGTCCGCGTCCGGATTTGACGTCGATGTACTTGATGCGCCCGTACTTATGGAAGATGTCTTCGACCTCCTTGTCACGGACATCAGCTGGCAGGTTGCCAACGTAGACTTTTTGATCCTCTCCACCTCGTGGCATGATTTCCTCTGCTGAAAAACAACTATATTGGGAAGGGGAAAAATAAAGATACGAAAAATAGTTATGATGACGACAGGGATATTGAAGAAGAATGGAGCCAAGGAGAGTTACGAAACAGAGAAACGAATGGTTTCGAATGAACGAAATTCCCGCAAAACTGGTCAAAAATTTCGAAATTTCGCGCCATCGATCAGGAAAACAATAATTCTAATTTCAGGCCTAAATTTGTCGAAAAAATCCTTCTTGTTGGGATATTTCAGCGGAAATCAATAGAAAAAAGAGTGAAAAATCAATTGTTTTTGGTTTTTTACAGAAAAAAAGGTTTTTCGACTGAGAAATGAGCTAAATGTGAGAGGTGGAATCGCTTTTCGTCGTCTCAAACGCTCATGAAATAACCGCGACGCGACCGCAACGCGCAAGCAATTTCAAAGCGCGCGAAATTTCAAAAAGTGCGGTAGAGCGCGCTTGGGAATGATGATGTCATCGCTCGTGTGGATTTACGGATAGAGAAAAATGAGTGTTTTGTGTAAGGTTTTCGTTTGTCATGTGGTGTTAGGAAAACAAATAGTCTTTAATTTCAGCTTTTTTTTCAGTTTCTCGAAGCCCAACACAGCCCAAATGCCCAATGAAGTCGAGGAAAGCAGAGGTAGACAGTAAGAAATTCAAAAAAAGTTTTTTTTTAAATTTTCAGACAGCGAGGTAGTCGACGACACTGGTAAGAAAAAATGGGTGACTTGTTCAATCCTGCTTCTTGTAAATCTGCTGAATTACATCGATCGCTACACGATTGTCGGAATTATGGGACACCTAACCCCATTTTTTGATATGAATGATAAGCAAAAGGGGCTTTTGCAGGTTCGGAATCCAATAGAGGTTGTAATTATCAAGTTATGGTGTTTTCCAGACGGTTTTCATCGTTTTCTACATGCTGTTCGCCCCATTATTCGGATATTTGGGTGATCGATACAATCGGAAAATGTTGATGATGACTGGGCTTTCTATATGGATCGCCGCGGTTTTTGCATCGTCTTTTTGTTCAGAAGGGGTAAAAATTATCTCAGGAGCTGGGAAAATTCTGGAGAAATCGATTTTTCAGCACTACACACTGTTCCTAATTCTCCGCGGAGTCGTTGGCATCGGAGAAGCCTCTTACTCCACCATCGCCCCCACTGTGCTATCCGATTTATTCTCCGGAGCCCAGCGAAGTCGGGTGCTGATGGTTTTCTATTTTGCAATTCCAGTTGGCAGTGGTCTTGGATTCATTGCCGGTTCAGGAATGGCTACACTCACTGGCTCCTGGCAATGGGGAGTTCGATTTTCGCCGATTGTAGGACTGATTTGCATGGGTTTAATGATATTTCTGCTCGAGGAGCCTGTGAGAGGATCGTGTGATGGGGCGAGACAAACCGGAGATAACGCTAGTTGGTGGGATGATGTTAAGTACTTGGTTTCTATGTGAGTTTCGTTTATTTGTGCAGAAAATCATGTAAATTCACATAAGCTAAAAATGTCTAATTTCGGCTCAAAATTCTTCAAAAATCCCAAATTTTTCAAAAAATAAAAAACACTGAAAATCAAGAAAAACGGACTAAAAATTGCCGAAACTGTCAAAAATATGCTAAAAATAGCTGAAAAATCACTGTAAAAATTGTCTAAAAACTACTGAAAATGGAGTAAAATTGCAAAAAAAAAAATTGATTTTCAGATTTTTTGAATTTTTTTTCGATTTCCAACCGGTTTTCCTTGGAAATTTCCGATTTTTTCTTAAAATTTCTGCAAAAACTATATTTGACAAGTGAAAACGTTCGATTTCCAACCGCGTTCCTACGGAATTGGTCAATTTTTTAAACTTATCAAACCAGTATTTGCAAAAATGTCAAAAAAAAACTGAAATTTTTGAGAAAAACGGTTAAAAATATTTAAAAAAGCTTTGAAAAATTTGAATTCGCGCGCTGGCCGGGACTAGAAAACTCACACTCGGCCGCCAGCCACTTTTTTATAAGTTTTAACTGAATCAACATGATTTTCTGCACAAAACAAAGTATCTTTAAAATTTGAAATTTGAAAAAAAAATTTCCAGAAAAACCTTCTGCCTTGCCACAGTTGCCTCTGTCGCATCGCTGTTCTCGATTGGAGCAATGAGTTGGTGGACACCAGAATTCATTGAGTCCTCATGGGCGGTCATCAACAAAAAACCATCGGTTCCAGAGGAGCAAACCACTTAGTAAGCCCAAAAGTCGACTATTGTTTGCTAAATTAAAATTCCAGCATTGCCATGATTTTCGGATTAATCACCTGCGCCGCTGGTATCCTTGGTGTTGCTACTGGATCGATTCTCTCCCGGGCTTGGCGAGACGGAAAGTCGATTTTCCGAAATAAGGCATCTGAAAAAGCAGATGTTTACGTCTGCGCTATCTCTGTCTTCGTTGCTCTTCCATTCCTCTTCCTGGCCATTTCCCTTGCTCATCACTCAATGAACATCTCGCTCATTCTTATATTCTTCGGAATCACATCGATGTGTTTGAATTGGGCAGTCAACGTGGATATTCTGATGTATGTTGTTGTTGCGAATAGAAGGGCTACTGCATTAGCTGTACAGACTATGCTAGCACATATGTTTGGAGACGCCTCAAGCCCATATGTTGTTGGAGTGCTATCCGATTGGTTCAAAGGAGATGATATGTCGATTTATGCAAAGTTCTTTGCTATGCAAAAGTCTCTCTATCTTCCCGCTTTCGTTTTGGTTATTGGAGGAGCCTTCTATCTAGCAGCCACATTCTTTGTTGAAGAGGATCGGAAAGAAGCGCTGTTCCAAATGGATGCTCCTGACAACTGGGAGCATCACAATGATTCAGATGATATGGACTCTCTGATTCAGTCTGGGCAGGTTGTGGGACGAGAAGAAGGGCCGGCGGCTGTGATCCATTCCACTATGACACCATCACCGGAGGTTGGGACAGCGGCGACAGACTCGGCTTGACGGTACGAAGAGGAACAGCAACCAAAAGCACAACAACGACCATCTTTTAACTCTTCTGTAAGTTTTATCTAGTACAAAAAATCCAACTACCGTAACCTGAAAAGTTGGCTTAAAATAATGAAAAAAAAATCGACGAAAACAGTGAAAAGGAAGAAAATTTAGGCAAAATAATGATTTTTAGACAAGATCTGAAAAAATTAAGGTTTTCAAATTAAGTCATATTTGGCTGAAAGTCGATTTTTTGGAAAAAAATTTTCTCGGGAGATTACTGTAACGTGTTGCTTTTTTTTAAATTTTGCATGATTTTGGCCTGAAAAATGTGAAATTTCTAGTTTGAGTTTTCTAGTTAGAGTTTGAGGTTTTTTTTAAATTTCTAGTTAGAGTTTGAGGTTTTTTCCGAATTTTCAAAGTTCGGAAATTTTCAGAGTTTTGGAAAATCTGGAATTTATTTTCAGGTTACTGTAGTTGTCGTCGTGGGATTTTCAGCCACAGCTCACCGATTTTTTGGCGCTATGAAAGTAATTTTTCATTTCCAGATTGACTCCAATGACATTGAAAAATTAGCATCTGACGACGACGACGAAAATAACGACGTTTCTTCCATTCGATTCGTTCGAAATGAGGGTAGCGCCGAGAATCCAGACATCGACGCCTACCTTTCAGATGAAACTGACGAATGGGACGTCGAGAAGAAGGTGTCGGGTGAAGAAGAGATTATTTGATGTTGTCGTTGTTGTTCTTGTAAACTTGTAAATTTATTTTGTAGAGTTTTTTTTTGTAGCTGTTCCTCTTCTCTTTCTTTCTCTTTTTCCTGTATATTTGTAAATCTACTTAAAGATTTTTGACTCTTTCCCCGTTGATGGTGCCTTATTTTTGAAACTAGTTGTGATTCCTTCTCCTCTCTGCCAGTGCCTCTATTATTTTTTTAGATACCGGTCCTTATTTTCAGGCCAAAAGTTTAAATTTCCAAAATAACCATAATTTTCATTTCCTCCATCTGGAGCCCCCCTATTAATATTCGATTTTATATCCCCGATTTTAAAATGATTTTCTTCTCTTGGAATAAAATTCCTAGAATTTCTAGTCGATATTGTTGTGTTTGTCGTTGGTTTCGTGACTCCTTGGTTATATTTTTCGAGTTTTTGGCATTTTTTGTTATTAAAATGGTTTTCAGATGAAGTCACGAAGAGCGCCGTTGATTGTGAAAGCGCTAGATGAGGGGTTTCAGAGGCCCACTGGAGAAATAGGTAATACGAATTTTTGCATCTCAAAAATCAGCTAAAAATCATAATTTCCGTTTTTCTTATTTTAAAAAACTCCAAAAATAGTCCAAAATAGTCTGAAAATGGCCAGAAATAGTCCAAATAGTCTGAAAATGGCCAAAAATGGTCCAAACCTGGCTGAAAAAATAATCTTTCTGCATTTTGCCGTAAAGTGTGATACATTGTTTTGGTGTTTGCAGAAAATCCGGAAATACAGTAATTCAAAGCGATTTTCAGCTCAAAAACGCTCGAATTTGGCTCGAAATCTTCAAAATTCCTAAATTGCAGACCCCTACGACGATATTCAGCTACAAAAAGTGCTCAAAGAGCTGTCATTCGTGCGAATCAAACTCGATCAGATTGTACTTCCCGATATTAACCCATTCATCCAGAAATTGCACAATTTTCGAGAGTTTTTTGGGTTTGTTTTGTCTAGAATTTTGGCTCTAAAATTTCAGATTTTTCCAGATTCCACCTAGAATATTCGTTTCCTTGTCTTGATGTCGTTTCGAAGTCACTAAAATCGACTATTCGGATACCAGAGAAGGAAGTGGACGCCATGAAAATCGTGTTTAATCATCGAGTGAGTAAAATTAAGCTGAGTAGTCAAAATCATACGGTAAGTTTTTTATAGCGAATCGTTCTCCTGGACATGCATCAGGACCAAGTGGAGCATTGGCAAAAGGCGCAACTCACCCTACACCTTCTAGTGAACATGTCAGTAAACGGAAGGCATACGGTAGCTCATCCGAATCCAGGACCTTAACTATGAGCATCTTTCAGACCCGCCCCCTGGCTAAATGCCACGTACGCCTGTCTGACCTCCTCTTTCCACCGTATATAATCCATAGAGACTTTGACTTCGTCGGAGATGAATTCGAAGGAACCGCCGAGATTCGAATCGATTTGGGAAGCCGAAACAAGGCGTTGATGGAGAAATTAAACAATTTGAGAGGCGATCGAAGTCTGGAGGACACTTTTGTGGTCGCCGAAAAATCAGTGGGGAGGAGGACAAGATCCAGGAGCTCTAGTAGATGTCGTGCTCACTCGTCAGCGAGTTCTGCAACGCCACGCGCACCTAGTATCGGTTCCAGAAGACCTCACTCTGCCACGTCGTCATTATCCTCCAAGGAGACACCGATTCTGAGGCCTCAGCAACAGTTTTTCGGAGAAAAGTTCAGCCAATCGACGCCACAAAATGGCTATCTGAATGCCGAAGCACGACCTAGAATCAACTCCAGCTCATCGATTGGATCGGATTCTGTATTCATTACAGTACCAGAAAAGCCACGTGTCTTGGAAGATGAGCCACAAGCTCCCAGAGAACGGATAACTCAGTTCGTGACCAAGTCTTATGGAGCATCAGCAGTAGGGGATACTGTAGAAGAGTTGACGTGGCACGGAGGAAAATATTATATGCAGGTTACGGTACATGAAGGTATTGGACTACCGCCCGTGGAGGATGAGAGGTAGGTAGGCTTTGAGAGTGGGCGGAGCTTAGGTACAGTAGAATTATCTTTGAAGGAGCATGAATTTTCGAGAATTGAAAAAATCCAAAAAAATGTACCGAAAAATACATGTCTCTTTAAAAATTTCGCTACCGTACCTAAGCTCCGCCCACCATCGAGATTTCGGAGACTGACAGATTCAGAATTTAGAAATTTATATTTTTTAGCGGCCGCATAACAAGTCCCTCTACATTCATCTCGATCCTCGGAAGAGATGGAGACCTCCGCTCGCCCGTTTACCGTAATTCAAGAAACCCCCATTGGAACTTCGTGGCACGCTTTGCTATCAGCTCAGAACGCCGGAATCTAGTAGTCAAAGTGAATCATCGAGGTCCATTGGGAGATTCTGCTCTAGGATATGTGACTATCCCTCTTCCAACGGCAAACGCGCGAATGGGGATGTTCGAAATGACAGATGTGACACGGATGGCAATGAAGCATACCAGTCAGGTACCAACGCTGACGATTAGTTTGGAGAAAGTGAGGAATATCGATGCGGCTGAGGGATTTGAAGGGTCCGACGAGAATCATAGAATCAGAAGAGCCACGTCTTCAAGAGGAACTTCTCCCACTCGAGTAGCTCCAAGCGTCCGTATAGACTCTCCACCGATTCTGGAGAGTAGCGAGGTTATCAAGGAGAGAATGCAACGATGTATGGCGGATTTGGAGAATATGATGAGAGGAATCAATCACTAAATATAATATTAATTGTTGCTTTTTTTTATGTATTTTTATTCTCTGTTCTTATCTTTTTTCTAGTTATATTCGATTCGATTTCAATTAACAGATACTCAAATTTGACCTCAAAAATAAAAAATCTCTTGCTGCACTCGATGGCCTAGCTTCTTCTCCTTATTCGGCCGCCAGCCACACTGTCTGTGTCTCTCGCCTTGCCACACTCTCTCATGTGGCACATCAACCAATTTTCCATCTTTTTGCTTTCCTTTTAGCTCGTTTTTCCGCTAAATGTGCCGGAATTTCGTCATCTTCGGCGAAAAATGAGAGATATCGAGGATTTCGTGTTCACTAATAAGCAGTGCCTGGCGGTTTGTATAGCGAAGGTGAGGTGGAAATTGAGAAATTAAAAAGTGGCTGAAAATCTAGAAAAATCGGTTAATAACTAAAAAATTTGGTTGAAAATTGAAAAAAGACTTAAAATCGAAAAAAATTGGCTCAAAAATTGTAGAAAAGTTTACATTTTGAAAAATAAGCTGAAAATTCATCGAAAAAATTGAAAAAAAAACTCAAAATAGTTGACGAAATAGTTTGAAATCCGAAAAAAAGGCTTAAAATTTAAAAAACAGAGCTAAAAAATGAGTGAAAATTCGGGTTAAAAAATTACAACTGGAAAAATAGGTTTAAAATTGAAACAATAAATAAAAAATAGAAAAAAATGGCTCAAAAAGATTCAGAATGAGAACACGAAACTCTCGCAAATCTACCAACTTCTGGCACTTGACGACAAAGAGGAGCATTTCGAATCGCAGCCATTGAGCCATAATGTCCGCTGTTCTCTGATTGGAGTCGCTAATTTCCTGTTACATAGCCATGGAAGAGTGAGGAGTTTTTGGCAAAAATTGATTTATTAAAAAAAAAAATTACAGTTCGCTGATGATCTGGTTCCAATGCTCCTTAGAGCTCTCACCGCTCTTCCACACATGAAATGGATCGATGATGGTCTGCTGAACAAATCTGACAGTGAGATTTCATCTCAAAAACGAAAAAAAAATGAATTTTTTCCCAGGAATTCCTGTCCAAGAGCAATTCGCGTTTTGTTTCAACACATCCTTATCCGATTTGGCTGCTCATTTACCCCGACTCCGCGAGCATATCGTTTCTGCTCAATGTGACGCCCTGGCTTGTTCAGTGTCTTCGGTTTATGATCTTCTGGAAGACAAGGAGAATCTCGAGCACAACTATTCGCATATTATCAAATTGATGTGCTATGTGCTCGGTTTGACTAGGTCGATTGGAAGATTTTCTACGGATTATGATACTCCGCTGATTTCTCTGATCTTCCCACTACCGATGGATGAGACCAAGAAGTTGAAGGGTACTTCTAGTGGGGAGATGTAAGTGGAATAACTGTCCAAAAAAAATTGGTCGTAACCTAGAAAAAATTGGGTCATGACCTAAAAAATTACATCATGAACTAGAAAAAATTGGGTAATAACCTAGAAAAAATTAGGCCATAACCTAGAAAAAACTATGTCGTGACCTAGGAATCCAAAAAGTGAGATCATGACCTGGAAAATCCGAATTTCTTTTTTATTCCAGAATCCATCGAATCAGCACCGACGAGTTCACATTCGACACTCCTGAAAACTCTGAGAACCTTCTTCGAGACCAAACGAGACTTATCCGGATGTACAACAAACTCGGTGCCTCGTTTCTCTTCCACAACTTCACGGGCGGTCTAAAACTGGAGATGTCGGCTCAAGACCTGGAAAAGCTCTTCGATTCCGTACAACGACTAATGGATTCGAAATTCCTGGAAGTGCTGGATGAGATATCTGGAGAAATATTCCAAAGTGGAGGCGCCGTCAAACGAAATCCCTACAAATCAATGTCAGAGATTGTGAATTTGTGTAGTTTGACACTTTTGAAGGATGTTTTGGGACCGTATCAGGTGTCTTCGAAGGATAGCCCTGTTTCCGAGAAGTTTGCTAAGGAAATTGGCGTTTTTTCGAAAGCGGCACTACAAAAGCTGGATTCTGAGCTGCAAGGGCTTCAGCATTCGTCAGAGCCAGTTATGAATCCAACCACAGAAGTTTCCCGTCAAAAACTCAACATGCAATCAGCTACAGTATCCCTTCAGCTAATCGCCTGGGCAGCTGTAGATGATATTGATGCTGATACGATTTGTACTGAAATTATCACTAGGCTATTTGCAAATCAGCCCCAGAGGACTATAATCTCGCAACTTCCTCTCTACCTTAAAGCTATTTCTAGTATGGCTACACTGGCGGAGAAATTTCCAGCTGTTGCGACAACCGCCGTCAATCAGAATCTCCAACGATTTCTATTGGAGCCAGCACCAATGTTAACGAAGCTGGCGTCAGATACGTCTACACTGGAGCGAGGAAAATCAGCTGAAGACGTGATTCAAAACTCGAAATCTAGCTCGAATATCGAAGCGATTTCCAAGCGAAAGCTAGCGCTGGATGCTCTCCGAAACGCGGCTATCAAAGCGATTTGTCGCGCGCTGAAATCGTCGATTCGAATGGAGAGTGACAGTGTACAGCAGTGTTTGGCAGGATTGTCCACGAAGCTTTTTGTGTGCTCCAATGCTCAGAATTTGTAGGTTTTTTAGTTTTTAAAGCTAATTTTTGAAAATTCCTACAGACCTATGCATCCAGACTTCAGGTAGAAGGAAGTTTGATGACCCATTAGTTAGATTTTTAGATTTTTGAGTTGAATGGGACATGTTCTTGGTATTGTAACATTTATAGGGGATGTTCGGGGTGAACTTTGAAATTTTCGAAATTCTTTTAAAAATCCTAAAATGTTCAAAACCGGACTTTTTGAAATTTTGAAAATTTGAATATTCTGAGATTCCAGAAAACTTGAAAATTTTGGAATCGGAGTTGTCGATATTCATAAAAAATCCGAAATTTTTGAAATTCTTAAAAATTTCAAATTTTGGAAAATCGGAAATTCCAGAAATTCTGAAATTTTGAAAATTGTAAAATTCTGAAATTCCAAAAAAAAACTATAATTTTAAAACTCGGAATTTTCGACATTCCAAAAAATTACGAAATTTTAAAAATCGTAATTTTCCGAGATTTTTAAAAATTCCGAAAATTTCAAAATCAAAATTTTCCGAAATTCCAAAAAATCCGAAATTTCGGAACTATCGAAAACTCCAAATTTTTGGAAGTCAGAGTTTTGGACATTTTAAACAATTCCAAACTTTTGAAAACTCGAATTCTCGAAATTTTGGGAAATCAAAGTTTTGAAAATTTGAATATTCTGAAATTCCAAAAAACTTAAAAATTTTTGGAAATCGGTGATACCAGGGATGAGAACTCGGAAAATGAGAACTGCTACATATGAGAACTAGACAAATAAGAACTCGTTTTCCGGCTCTAATTTCAGGCTCAGGATCCAACCTTTTTGAAAAATATTTTCGAAATGGTCTCGTTCTTCACAATACTTCAAGATTTTCCAAAAAAAAATCCGTGTTTGCCATGTACTCTCCGAGTTCTTATTCGTACGAGTTCTCATATGTAACAGTTCTCATTTTCCGAGTTCTCATCCCTGGTACCACCTGGAAATCGGAGTTGTCGATATTCTTAAAAAATCCGAAATTTTAAAAATTCTAAAAAATTTCAATTTTCGGAAAATCGAAATTCCAGAAATTATGAAATTTTGAAAATTGGAAAATTCTGAAATTCCAAAAAAAAAAAACTGTAAAGTTTAAAAAATCGGAATTTTCGAAATTTCGAAAAATCATAAAAATTTAAATATCAGAATTTTCCGAAATTCCAAAAAAAATGTCTAAAATCGACTTTTCGAAATTTTGGGAAATCAGCATTTTGAAAATTGGAATATTCCGAAATTCCCAAAAACTTTGAAATTTGGACAAATCGTAAATTCCCGAAATTTTGGAAATCACATTTTTCGATATTCTAAAAAATTCCGAAATTTAAAAAATTGGAATTTTCGATATTCTTTAAAATTCCGAAATTCCAAAAAAGTCCAAAATTTTGTAATTCCAAAAAAAAAACTTTAAAATTTTAAAAATCGGAATATTCGACATTCCAAAAAAATTCCTTAATTTTGGAAAATCGAAAAATTCCGAAATTATAAAAATCTGAATCCTCGAAATTCCCGCAAGGCCATTCCGAACATCCCTGATCCCCCAGCATAAGCCTGGATATGTGTGGGCATGCGGTTATAATGCTTCTTCTCTTTTTCTCCCCCTATCCTCCCCTAACAAGAAATCATCTTTCAGCGTTGTCTCCTTGGTATGCGAAAATGCGATCCAGACCCTCGGCGGCATCGGAGTCGGATTAGTCGACTCGACAGCTGTGGAAGTTCCCGAGATGGTTGTTCAAATCTATCTTCAGAGATTCGCGAATCCACCGTCCCAGCTGGATGTGACTATGATCAGATGTCTAGCGGAGATGTGGATTGCTGGAGCTGTAAGATTATTGTAAAACCTGTATTAGAAGGGCCCCCACACCATCATGTTTTAGCTCAAGTATCTCAATTCCTATGCGAGATATCAAAAATGCGTCAACTGATAAAATTTTTGTAATGATATAATAAGCAATTTATCAGTTGACAGATTTTTGATATCTTGCATAGGAACCGAGAAGAATGGGCTTAGTTAGGGGCCCTTCTAATACAGGTAGCTTCATTTCTAATAAGAAATTTTCAGCGCTCAATTTACGAAAACGTTTGGAAACTGTTCACCCAGATTTGCATCGAATCATCGAATCGGGTGTACAGTCAGGGAAACAACGATTCTAATGATCAGAGATACACGTATGTTTGAATTTCGAAGACATCTGGATAAACAGACACCCTTACAGACATGTCTCCTTGGCTGTTGATATGGCGATGAGTCGAATGGCAGTGAGTGTCAAGAATGAGGATGACAAGATGACGTTGCTAGTCAGACTTCTGGAGCTCTTCGTCCAACTTGGCATCGAAGGACGACGAGTGGGAGAGAAGGTCTCGAAGAGTACGGTCAAGGTAAGCTTATCCATAAAACCTCTAATAGAAGGGTCCCTATCTCGGTTCTTGTGAAAGATATCAAAGTGTTGTCAACTGATAAAATGTTCCTGATATAACGATAAACAATTTATCAGTCAACAACTTTTTTATACCTTTCAAAGGAACCGAGATAGGGGTTCTTCTACATTTGATTTGCCTTCTTTTCTCTTTCCGCTCACTAATCATTTGCAGCTGACGATTGTGGCACTGTCCACATCGGTAAACTCCGTGAAGGTGTGATTTCTATTAGTGCCCGTTTTTCCCAATGTTGTGTAGACAATTTTGTGATTTTTAGTTCACTTTTGAGAGCACAAAATTTTGTTATTTTGCCAGCTTTCTCTGTTATTCTGGTACGAGAAAAAGGTCCCAAAACGACAACTACCGTAACTTAAACATATGCTTCGTTTTCCGAATTTTTTGGACCAGAAGAATAGCAAAACCAACACACGCTGTCCCCATAATAGTTCTTCGATAATTCTAACCGCAATATAGCTTGTATTTGTAGTATTTGTAGTTTTTTTATAGTCCATCAACTCCCCCAACTGATTCTCCATTTCCAGATGTCCACCAGCGCTGGAAACCTCGGAGTGCTAATGCCAAAAATCGCCTCGTTGCTCCGAAGAATGCAGCCGATCTCCGAACCAACTCCGAAACTTCGATCTCTATTCCGCGACTTCTGGTTCTATTGCACTGTCCTTGGCTTCGACGTCGAATCATCCAGCTTATGGCCAGAAGAATGGTACAACGCTGTTTGCGAGACTGCGACGAAGACGCCAGTGCTGATCGCTTCCGAGAATTTGAGATCCGAGTTGATTGATAACGCGGCGATCAGATCAGACTCTATCTCTCCGCAAGAGCTTCAAGAGATGCGGAATACGGTACTCGCCGAACTCAGTCATCAATCGGAGGCTGTACCTTTAATCAACAGATTTGATTTCGCCAACTGCACCTATCTTTTATCAGTTCATCGAATGGAATCTATGCGGCTGATCCACGCAAACCATGTGGATGCATTCAGCTCATTTTTCAAATACATAGAGGATAAGACCGTTAGAAAGGATAAATCTGGGCTCTGGACGTGTATGCTTGCAGCAGCTCCCCGGATATTTTGGACATGGTGTGGAAAGATGATGAAAAGGAGGGATAACGATGAACCTACTGAAGAAGCACTCGTTTGGCATGCACAGTTCCTTCTATTCAAATTCAATCATCACCTTCGAGAAGTCAGGAAAGTAGCTGATGCCTGTCTGAGTCAACTTGTCAAAGCCTTTCCTTATCTTCTATGGAATACCAAGGTGCTCACAACCATTCTACGTTTGCTCCAAGAACTTGAAGACAATCTACAGAAGGATCCGACTTGCAAAGAGCCCCAGTTTACTATGGATGGATTCGAAAAAGGTTGGACTATTCAGCTACAAGACTCCATTGAAGGAAGGCGATCGGTGGTGAAGGACTTCTCAATGAGAGTCAAGCAAATTCTAAAGGAAGCATTGCAATGGGCACCTGCCTCAACTCATAGTAATCTTTTGGAGTATGTGTCGAAGTTCGGAGCGGAGAGAGATGCGGCGATGCAGTTGGCTATAGATGCTACCAGTGAAGGAGGCAAAGGAAAGTCTGGATCCTATTTAACGTCTCTCTACAAGAGAAGTAACTATTTGGGACAAGTCAAGGGGATGCTGGCGACGACGTTGAGTGGGGATATCGATCAGGTTACTGCTGAGAATTCGTTGATTGATCGATTGGAGAAGGATTTTCAGGTATGATGCTAATCTAGTTAAAAACAGGGGTGCTCGGAATATTTCTATTTTTGAAAATTTCTCAATTTCGGAGCATTCCGATTTCGAGAGTTTCAGAATCCCAGAATATTCAGAGTTAACAAATTCCGGAATAATCTGATTTCGAACTTTTCAGAATTCCGAAATCTTTTGAATTTCAAAATTACAGAGTTCCCGATTTTTCCGATTTTCAAACTTGTAGTAGAATCTTCAGAATTTGATTTCGAATACGCTTCGGAAGTAATCTGATCAGAACTTTCATAATTTCGAGTTCCGTTCTGAACATCCCTGGTCAGACCTATGAGACATTTATGAAAATCTTGATTTCCAGAGAGCCTGCAAAAGTGGAAAAGACAATGAAATGGAGCAAGCCGTCCTCCTCCTCACCGCCCTTTTCGTCAGCCTTCGCTCCATGAACGAACGAATTCTGACGCTTCTCGTCCGAACGCCCCTTCACAACTTCACCGAATCTACGATATCTCTGTGCACAATGGCTTGGAACTGGTTGCTCAGCGCCCGCCCAGAAGCTCACAGTCTGTTCCTCCATGAGCAAGCTAGAGCGTTCGCCGACTCTTGCCGTTTTGGTTTGGGACTTTTCGAGAAGGAACACGTGGATATGAGTTTGTCTCCATTGTGCCGTCAAGTCGAACGACCACCACCATCCGCCAACTTCCGACCGCATCGAGAATGGATCGAGTTCATAGGAGAGCGATGTGACGTGGCATCGTATTCATCTCGAGAGCAGCTGGATGTTCTAGAAATGATGTTTGCGCAAACCCTCTCCGCTCAAATTGGAACCGGTCATCTTCATGGATCTACAGTAGTCAACAATATAGGAAACTTGACTGGCCCCACAAGAAAAGAGTCCATTAATCAGGTGACACGTGGCATTGAAGCTGTCGGAGTTAGATTCAGGCTCCTCTCTTGTGTACTTGGAATGATTCAACAGGATGCTTGCTTGCTCCGCCCTACGAATCTACTTATTCGTCAAAGAGTCTATTCCAGTGCCTTCCACTATTTCACTATAGCACCACAAGGACCAACACAAGGGGAAGATGCGTTGAGGGAGGATATTAAGCTTCTGGCGAAATTTTTTGATCATCTACAGAATGATAAGTATTATATGGTCAAGGAGACAATGGCTAAGAACGATAAGAATGTGGGATTGGCAACAACAATGTCGCATATGCAGACCGCTTTTGAGAAGAGTCTGCTGGTCAGTGGGACTGGAGCAGCGACAACCACAGGAACTCCGACAGCAGCTACGCTGATGCTTCCTCCGACTACAAACTACGCAAACACCCTAACGCTATCGTCCCAGAAGGCTATGGCTGCCGCTACAGCTTCCATGAAGAGTGGCAAAACGATTGAAGCAAAATTGACGATAGAGGAAAATAAGAGAATCAATGTCTACTTGAAACAGAGACATATTCTGATGCTCCTGGTTGCCAATGAAATTGAGAGACTATCCGCTTGGCTCCATCCACTGGCGTTGGGACAAGAAGACTGTACGATAGTATCTGAGCAGTTTCTAAGAACCACCATTGCCGAAATCGTAGGTGCGGTCGTGAATCCGGAGAACAAGAAGAGAAAGTGTTGGAAGGATCCGGCTGATATCGCTTGGAGTATCTCACCGGAACTGGCGATTCAACTACCGTCACGATTCAGAGGATACCAGGATCTAGCAGATGCAGTCGAGAGGCTTGTGAGATTGCAGCCTGAGCTGGTTGCTCATATTCCAGAAGCCCTCCCATTGTTTTTAAATGGTGGACATGTTTTTGAAACGGCTGAAATGTCGCATGTGCTCACTTGGGCTCGTTGCTCACCGGTGATGGCTCTCTCGTTGCTCACACCCAGACAGTATTCGATTCATCCAATTTCCATGCAATATGCTGTGAGGGTGTTGAGAAGTTATCCAGCTGATGCGTTGTTGATGTATATCCCGCAGATTGTGCAGTCGGTTAGGTAAGGAATATTTTTGGAATTTCGAAATTTTGAAAAATCGGAAAATTGCAGATATGACACAATGGGATACATCGCTGAGCTGATGATATGGCTAGCTGGCCACTCTCAGCTCCTCGCTCACCAACTGATATGGAACATGCAAACGAATATGTACACAGATGAGGATAGTAAGACAAAGGATCCAGTGCTATTCGAGCCATTAAACGACATAATGCAACGAATCATGTCTCAACTGGAAGGAGCCGCCCGTCGATTCCACGAAGCGGAATTCAAGCTATTCCATCAGCTTACCGCCATATCCGGAACCATCAAGCCTTTCCCGAAAGGCGATGCTCGTAAGAAGGCGTGTCTGAAGGCGTTGGCTGATGTGAAAATTGAAACGATCACCTATCTTCCGTCGAATCCTGAAGCCGTGTTGCTTGACTTGGACTATTCATCTGGAACGCCAATGCAATCAGCTGCAAAGGCACCGTTTTTAGGTACTGTAGCTTTGAAAGATTTTCTACTTAAAAAATACCCAAAGCATTAGGGCATGACCCAGAAAAATTAGGTCATGATCTAGAAAAAACTAGGTCGTGACCAGTGTGTCCTTTTGACACGACTTCGAGAAATTTTTCGAGGAATTTCTCGAGAAATTTCGAAGAATTCCTTGAAATTTTCGAGGAACACCTCGAAGAAATTTTTCGGGAAATTTTCGAAAAAATTTTCAAGACGATTTCATTTTGAACACTTCTAATGTCGCCACCCTTTTGTCCCCAGAATCCTGAAGACGTCCCGAGCCACTAGAAATTCCATCCATCACAACTCGGTTTATTTTTACGCTAGAGAGTTTATCTTACCACCATTCGAACGCTCTCTTCTTAACACAATGAAAGTCATTTTGGCACATGAAGTGGGCGGGTTTTAAAATGATTATTTTGACAAAAGTATATAAAAAATCAACAAAACAGAAACATTTTGCCCACTTCAGCACATAAAGTAGGCGGCACATATGGGTTACTTTGTTTCCTGTGGTGGAAGCCACCTCGGCAGATTTTTTGGAGGTTCTTACACGGCTTAACTTCGAAAAGCTAGCTCGAGGAATCTAATGGTATCGGTTGCCGAGCAAGACAACTAACACAGAAAAAAGTTATTTTTTTGGAGCAGGAAAAACCATACTTGCTAGATCCCGGCCCAGCCCGGATAGACCCTGGCTGCGGCCCGGGTCCGAGCTGGAGAAAAATTCCCGCTTACTTCATGTTCCTAAATGGCTTTTATTGTGTTAAGCTTGAAGAGAGCGTTCGAATGGTGGTAAGATAAACTTTCTAGCATGAAAACGAACCGAGTTATGATGGATGGAATTTTTAGTGGCTCGGGACGTTTTCAGGATTCTGGGCCATTACATATTCAGAAGAAAAAGGCATTTCTCGAGAAATTTTTTTTCGAAAAGACACACTGGTCGTACCTAGAAAAAATCAGTTCACGACCTAGAAAAAATCAGTTCGTGACCTAGAAAAAATTGGGTCATGACCCAGAAAAATTAGATCATGACTCAGAAAAATTAGGTCATGATCTAGAAAAAACTAGTTCTTGACCTAGAAAAATTGGGTCATGACCTAAAAATACTAGGTCATGACCCAGAAAAATCTAGGTCATGATCCAGATAAATTAAGTAATGACCTAGAAATAATTAGGTCATGACCTAGAAAAAACTAGGTCATGACCTAGAAAAAAATAGGTCGTGACCTAGAAAAAACTAGGTCTTGACCTAGAAAAAACTAGGTCATGACCTAGAAAAAACTAGGTCATGACGTAGAAAAAACTAGGCCATGACCTAGAAAAAATGAGCTCGTGACCTAGAAAAAACTAGGTCATGGGAAATCCAAAAAAAATTTAATCCATGAATTTCAGCCCGCTTCCGAGTGAAACGATGTGGAGTTCGAGAATTGGAGCACATTGGTCTACAAGCTCAATCTGAAAAAGAGGGAAAATCCTCAGAAGCGGACCTGGAAACATTGCGAAAAGTGCAGGATAGTCGAGTATGTTGGCAAGCAGCGATTTTCAAAGTTGGCGACGACGTACGACAGGATATGCTGGCTCTTCAACTCATGCAACTCATGAAGAACGTGTGGGCGGGGCTTGGCTTGCCGGTGAGAGTGTTCCCGTATCGAGTGGTTGCCACGTCACCAGGATGTGGAGTTATCGAGTGTGTGCCGAATTCGAAGAGTCGAGATCAGTTGGGACGGCAGACGGATTTCGGGCTGTATGAGTACTTCAAGGTTCGGCACTAGTTTTGTTCAAAATCATGAAAAAATGCCCAAAATCATGGAAAAATGATTTTAGGATTTTCAAAAAATTAAAAAAATTTTCGAAAAATCAATTTTTCACAATTTTTGAGAAAAAAAAAGAAAAATGGGCTGTAAATCATAACAAAATAGATCAAAAATCTGGGAAATCGTCTCAAAATCACGAAAATTATTTTTGAACTTATGAAAATTGTTCTAAAAATTGATCTAAAAACCATGGAAAATTGGCCTAAAATCATTAAAAATTGCCAAATAAAAGCCGAAAAATCATGAAAATCGACCCAAAAATGATGCAAATTGTTCTAAAAATCCCGAAAAGTGTCTTGGAAATCATGAAATTTATGAAAAAGTCCTAAAAATTCAGAAAATTGTCGAAAAATCATGAAAAATGAAATTTTGGGATTTTCGAAAGATCCCATAATTTTTCGTAAAATTGCAAAAAATATGAAAAATATGCTAAAAACCTGTAAAATTGCCCGAAAATTCATAAAAATCGACCCAAAAATCATGATAATTGGCCCAAAAATTGTCCTAAAAATCCCAAAAATCATTTAAAATTGACCTAAAAAGCGTGAAAAATTAACCCAAAATCATTAAAAAATGACCCAAATATCATGAAAATAGTCCAAAAAATCGATATTTTTCAGACGCAATACGGCGACGAAAGCAGTGAAACGTTCCAAGAAGCGCGTCGTAACTTTGTGCGAAGCATGGCAGCCTATTCAGTCTTCAGCTTTTTACTTCAAATCAAAGATCGACACAATGGAAATATAATGATTGATTTGGATGGACACATTATCCATATTGATTTTGGTTTCATGTTCGAGAGCAGTCCTGGAGGCAATCTGGGATTTGAGCCGGATTTCAAGCTCAGCGAGGAGATGGTAGCGATTATGGGTGGAAAAATGGAAGCGGCTCCGTTCAGACAGTTCGCTTCTCTTTGTGTTCATGCCTATCTGGCAGTTCGTCCGTACCATAAATCGTTTGTCTCGTTGGTTTCATTGATGCTAGACACTCATCTTCCATGCTTCCGAGGAAAGACAATTCAACAGTTGAGAACGAGATTCGCACCGGATATGAATGAGAAGGATGCGGCGAAGTGAGGAGTCTTGTTCCGAATTCCAAAGAAAACATATTCGAAATTTCAGATACATGCATTCGGTGATCACCAACTGCTTCCTGAACATTCGCTCGAAGATGTACGATCAGCTACAGTACTTCCAGAACGAGATTCCTTACTAATTTATTTAATTTATTTTCTCATATACCCCGTAAATTATATAGATGTATAATAGGTTGTTCTTTCGCGGTGTACAGAAATGCTTATTTTCTTGGTCTCAATCCCAGTAGTATTGCAATAAAGTTTAAATTTATTTTATGAAACAGTTTTATTCGGGTGATATAAAAAGTATAATACAAAAAACGGCGAGTTGAATGAGATATAGGATGATATAGGATTTTCGAATTAGTTGAATTTCGGAATTTTAAAAATTCAAATTTTTAAGTAGAAATTGTACTTTCCCATCCAAAAAGTGGAAGAAATTGACAAAATTTTTTTAAAAAGATTCCGAAAATGCACAAAAATATGAAAAGTAAAAATCCGCACGAGAACTTTCCGCATACGCCTTTAAAATACCGTAATCCTTAGAGTATCAAGTGTTTTCTGGCCTATTTTTTGCAATTTTCCAATGAATTCCACCGATTTTAACTTTTTTTTTCGTCTCAAAAAATGGAAAAAGCGCTTAAAATTGCATAAAATCTATAAAATTCATCGAAAAATAGACAAAAAATGCTAAATTTCATAGTTTTTATGAATTTTGCGATTTATCGGATTTTTGCAAAACAAAACTTTTTAAAACAAAAAACTGAAAAAAAAACAAAAAATCGCATAAAAACAAAGAAAATTATTGAGAAAATCGTTAGAATTCGTCGAAAAATCGAAAAAATAGATCGGAAAACAATTACGAAAAAAAAAATACATGCGCTTTTAAGAATTAAAAGGATAAAAGTTCAAAGAAAAAATTAAGGTATCATACAAAAAAATGCGAGCAGAATAAACAAAGTATTGGAAGGGGAATCTACGAGTCATACATATAAACATTTTATAAAAAAGCAAATTCGTCTCGTACTAGATAATACGAATCTTCTCGAGTCAGAATTTCAAGATTAATAGAACAATATCTATTACCCAACCTACAACTTTTACCCACATGATTTTCGAGTCTATAACATTAAAGTCCAGTTGTCTCATTGTATTTTCTACATTTAAGACCTACATCAAATAAATTTTCCATTCTTACAAGGCCCAATTTCTTATCGACAACTTCTTTAATGTCATCAATATCTCCTGAGTGCGCAAATTCCAGTCCTTTTCTGTCATTTACAATCAATTGAATATCGACTTCCAAGTTGTAATAGTCATCCTTGAAGATTTGAGTCGAAAGACAGTCGAAGACGTATGGGACACGGGATGCAGTCCAATGACAAAAACGAATCGATAATCGATCCGTTGGTAGAACTTGTATGATGTTTCGAATTATATTTTGGTTAGATGGTATTATGAAGAATCGATCTAGAGCTCCCCCTTCAACCTTTCCGAACGTATTGGAGACGCAGAAAAATCAACTTCATCTTTTTGAAATTTAAAATCCAGACTTGATGGATAGACACCTCTAAAAGCATCATTGAATCGGAATCCTTTGAACTATCTTCATAAATTTCGTAGGTCGACTTCTGAATTTATTAGTTTGATGCTGATTAGTAAGGTTTTTTCACTGTTCGGAGGATTTCAGTGTTCAGCTTGTAGATCAAACAATCTCCGATCGGATTTTTGAGAATATTCTTTTTTCTGTTGGAATACAAACACGATATATGGAACAACCTTTTATTTCATTATTACAATACAGAAAATGGTTCGAGAAGAGGGTGGGAGGAGAAGCAAGCATCATAATGCGATTCTGCAATCAAAACACGATCACAAACATCATAAGGGTTCTACCAACGGATCGAATATATATTAGTTATTGTCATTTTACTGCTCAATATATCCGAAATATCTTCAATCGTCTTTCGATACAAGAATTCAAGGATGACTACGAAAACTTAGAAGTTGATCTTCAACTGGTTGTAAATAACGAACAACGACTGAACTTAACTTCAAAACCAGTGAATATGGCTGCTGAGATGATTATCAACAATCTTAACAAACAGCTTACAACTTTTTACTCATATAAGCCGAGAAAATTAAGAAAATTAATTGTTCAATGAAAAATAAGCTTTCCTAATCATCAATTGTGTTTTTTAAAGATTATCCATCGCTTTTATGATATGAATTTTAATTTTCACTGTTGTAAGTTTTTTGTCCGGTGACGATGAAACTTGCGAAAATTTACAATAATCGCATCGCAGGGCCAGCAGCGAAAACAACGAGTTTTTTTTTCAATTTCTTACCATTTTCCGCTCGTGTCGGTCAATTTTCGTCCGATTTTCATGAATAAACAGCTGAATTTCCTAATAAAATAGAAGAACAACCAAAAAACAGGCCAAAATGAATGAATTTCGAGATACGGTATCAAAGGCGCATGCAATTTTCATACCGTAATCCTTAAACGAGCATTTATTTTTGTAATAATTTATTACCTATTTTTTCGACTTTTCGATGAATTTTATCGATTTTAACTTGTTTTTTTTTCACAAAAATCGGGAAAAACATAAAAACTGCATGAAAACAATAAAAATTATCGAAAAATGTATAAAATTCGTCGAAAAATCGGAAAAAGTGCCCAGAAACATGCTACTTCAAAGATATTGCTGAATACCGAGCCTATTATTCTTGTCAAAATGTGAAAAATACACAATTCATTTATTTTGGCTTTTCTATAAGAATCAGATGAAAATTGACAAAAAAACGCAAAAATTGAACAATTTTCAACTACGGTTCAAGGTGCATGTGTTTCCATCTCTCTTATGATATAAATTTTATCTGTGCTCCTCAATTTTGTTATTTGTTCTTTATCATCTGAATTATCATTTATCACCTGAATGAAAACTTTTCGAAAATAATAACTCACAACTTTATTGCAACACTTATAAAGATCGAAAAAAGTGAGAATTTCTGTACATCGCAAGAAAAAAAGAAGTTTTATATGGAGAAATTAAAAAGTCCTCAGGAAGAAAATAATTATAAAAATCAAAAATTCAAAATTATTAGAGATCAATCCATAACTCAGTAGCTCGATCCAATCACTTGACATTTCTCTTCAACTGCTGTCTGAGCTCGATGATCTTCTCTCGATCTCCAGCTGGAAGCATTTGCAGATCGTGCTCGCTGAGTTGCATGACTTGCATCAGGAGCTCCGCATTTGCTCTTTCCTCGTGGCTATCCTGCTGCTGTTGTTGCTGTTGCTGCTGTTGAACCATTTGTCTGTTCGGTGGCAATCCTTGTGGTGGTGGCATGTATGGTGGTCCTCCTGGCCGATTGTACTGTGGTGGTCCTTGTGGATGTCCCATTGGTGGTCCGCCAGGAGCTGAAATAATCATTGTCCTTAATCTAGCTGATTTCTAGATGATACTAAGCTTCCATTCGGTCGGGAAATTTAGCCGACCCACAGCCCGACCGTCCAAAATGAAAGCCTTAAATATCTTATCCTTTTCACCTGGATGATTGAAAACGGGTTTTGGTGGAAGTGGAAGTGGCATTTGCTGCTGCTGTGCTGGTGGCACCATTGATGGTCCCGCTGGATTTCCAGCTTGATGGAACGGGTTCATCGTTGCAGGATTATTTCGATGAAGAAGTCCTAGTGCGGTCTGGGGGTCAACGATTCTCATAACGACGGCAGCTTGAAGAACGGCATACGAGAGTTGTGGATTCTCGACGAGAATGCTGTTCAGCTCAGCTGGATTGTTTTTCAGAGCCTCTTGTAGTTGTTTCATCAGTTCGAACATTTTTTCAGGAGCCAGAGAGGCTACAGTTTGGGAAATTCTTTCCGGCGCTTTTCCAGCGTCACATTCCGGCCCATACGGATTCTCTTCAACTATCGCTGGTCCGTTGTTTGATGATCCAAACTCCTCCATATTCATTCCACCGGCAGCACTGTCGACGCGAAGCACACGTCCACCCAATTCGTAACTGGAAGAAATCGAAAATTTAATATGTTCAAGCCAAAAAATGGTCTTCTTGCTACCCATTAAGAACACGAATCGCAGTATCAGCCGTCGCGATATCTGGGAATTCGATAAATCCGTAGCCCTTTGGTTTTCCGGTCTCTCTATCGTGCACCATTTTGATCGATAAAACATGTCCGGCCTTTGTGAAAATCTGTCGAATCGTTTCTTCGGTGACATCGTAACTGATGTTTCCAACTGGAAAACGGAATTTATTTTTTTTTCTAAAATTGAAAAAATTACCGAAAACGGATCTTTGCGATCGCTCGCTGGCTTGTCCTTGTTGTTTGTTGTAGGACATCACTGAAATTTAGTGAATTTTGAGGTTAAAAAATCTTTTCGAATTGAAATTCGAAGCAAAACGACGATATTTTTCGAATAGCGAAAAAAGAAAAGAAAGTCGGAGGGACGTCGCACCGTTGCGAAAAAGCGCGCCGCGCGTTGCAAAACAAAAGTCCCGCCCACTTTTCGGTGACGTCACACCACCGCTGACCAACAAAGTGACCGATTTCCGGGGCGAGATTTGACATTATTTCCCTCTCGTTTGACACACATATCGATTACTCAATTAGAAAAATAGACAATATTTGCACATTTTTTGTTTCTATTTGCAGAAAAAGAACATAAGGCCTCCACGAATTTCTTATTAATTATTCATGTCATTTTCATCTCTAAATTGATATTTGATTCAAGTATTCATCTGCAAGTGTTCGAAAACAGCATTTTCGAAAGCAAAAAATTGGAAAAAAATTGACATTTGATTTTGACAATGATTTTGACAGAAAAATTTTTGAGTTTAGCACAAAAATTATAAAATGTACAGAAAATCGCGGAATTTCACATTTTTCGCTTAAATTTCCAAAATTTTTTTGCTTTTTTTTGTTCAAATTATACATTTTAAATTTTCGTCGAAAATGTGGCAGCTTCGCTGATTTTTGCGGATTTCAGAACTTTTTTTTTCAAATTTCTTTATTTTTTCGGTTAAAATTATAGAATCCGGATGTAATACTTTGTTTTTCTCTAACTGGGACACCCGAATTTCGGCTCCCAATTCAAAAAATTTGGGTCCGTTTCTCGCTTCCACATCTCACAATCCCTTAAATTTGCTCATTATTGACCCCAAAAAATTGCAAAAAAAAATACAGAACGATTTCTCACCTCCAGAAAAAATGTGGAAATTAACTGAATTATTCATGAGCTAGCTCTCTCTGTGTTCGCTGTTTGTTCTCCGTGCCGTTTGTCATCATCCATTCAAATCTCCCCGTCCCACTCGATTCCCAATTTTGGCGAAAAATTCAGTTTTTTTAGTTTTAGTTTTTTCGCCATTTGATTTATGAGCCAATTTTGCGCAGTTTGATTGATGGGAATGGCTTTTATGAAGTGTAGAGAGAGAGAGAGAGAGAGAGTGTGTGTAGAGAAGGCAGAGAAATATTTCTAGATTCCAAAAAAGTAGATTCACATAGAAAATGAAGAAAAAATTCAAAAAAAATTGCAAGACCTCAGAAAATCACTTCTCGTCCATTTCTGGAAACTTCCAGAAGGTTCTCGAACCTTTTGATTTTCCACCAAAACTGAAAATTCTAGGCCACCTCTAAAAAAGTTTTGGCGGGAATTTGAAGAAAAAGATTCGAGAACCCTCTAGAAGTTCCAGAAATGAACTTGGTGCGATTTTTCGAGGTTTTTCAATTTTTTCTATGTAAATCTACTATTCTACTCTAACGACAATGGCCGAAATTACAGCTTAAAGGCGCATCATCGTTCTAGCAGTGAAAAAGCGAAGTTTTAATAAGTGCATGCGCCTTTAATACCGTACCTCAAAATTATACAATTTTTGCATGTTCCCCTCAATTTTTCGCTCGTTTTTGTCAACTTCAGTAAAGATTAATGACAATCATACGCAAATTGACACAAACAATCGAATAATTATGGAAAATCTGCAAAAATGGAATGACTTGCAAGATACGGTATTAAAGGCGCATGCACTTCTTCCACAAAAAAACTCGAATTTTTCGCTGCTGGACCACCGATGCGCCTGTAAACTATATTTTCGGCCACATCGCCTTCAGACTAAAGTAATATGTGAATCTAGGTATTTTCCTACACATTTTTATGCAATACAAATTTTTCGTATAGAAACCGATTCAGTTGGGACGGATGTTGGAATAATTTCCAAATAATTTTCATCGGTTTTTTTTTCCTGCAATGTCTCCAGAGACCTCTCATCTCACCATTTCAACTTCCCCGTGTTCTTGACACAACTTCTTCTCGGAGAAGATGAAACTCTTCTCTCCTCCCATGAGTGAGAAGGCATCTTCTTCTTCGTATTCCCTTCGGGAGAAGAAGAACACAAACACATCTTCTTCTTCTTTTTCTTCGTGAGCATCTTCTTCTTCTTCTCCATCCTCCTCAACAACTTCTTCTTCTTCCCGAAACTGGCTTGATTACAACCTCTCTCTCCCCCGTCGTCGTCAAACTTTTCCCCCTCCTTCCATACTTTTTTCCTTTTTTTCTTTTTATTTTCTGCTCCAAAAAAAACGAAGACGTTGTGGTGGGGTTGTCCAGAAGAAGTAGAAGAAGAGTTTTTTTATGTGTGTGCAAGTTTTTTTGTTGTTGGGGGGCGTGGCCTTCTTCTTCTTCTGTCTCCTTTTCTGACTTCTCTCTTTCCTAAATTGGCTTCTTTTTTTCCTAGGCACACAGCCACACATATATACTAGTTTATTACTCTCTTGGACACTTCCCTTTTTTTCGAAAGTTTAAGTTACTTCTGTGTCCCTTTAATTTGGTTAGGACCCATGGTCATGCCTCTCTTACCCTCAACCCCTTCAAACCTTAAAAAAAAAGTTTGGGGAATTTTTTTGGATTCTGAAGAAGTGACGTCTTCTAGAATTACAGTAAACCTAACTTTAGATAAGAATCTAGATTTTCATCACAAGGCTAAAGGTGAAATTGTCAAGAAAAAATTCGAAATTTCGGTTTCAGTAAAGATCGTAATCTAGGTCATACTGTAACTCACTATAAAAAAGGTTCTGGAAATGGCAAAATCCACTTCATTACGTTCAAAAACTGTTTAAAGGCGCATGCTGTTTTTAAGATGCGCCTTTAACTGCATATTACCATAAAACCTGTAATAGAAAGGCCCTCTAACTTTGAGCTTTGAGCCAATTTATCTCGGTTACTGTAAGAGATATCAAAAAGTGATCAACTAATAAAATGTTTATCATATTATCGAAAACCTTCTATCAGTTGACCACTTTTTGATATCTCTTACAGGAACCGAGATAAATTGGGTCAAAGTTAAAAGTTAGAGGGCCCTTCTATTACAGGTTCCACGGTATTTGTTCGAAAATGCATTTAAAGGCGCAGTATATGAAAACAGCGATATGCGCCTATAAACGATTTTTTGGAATTATTTTTTTTAATCAATAAATTTCGTTTAAAGGCGCATGCCGATATTTAACGGCTTGGCTGTAAATATCCTTATACCTATATTATTTTCTCTTGCTTCCTCGTAAATCACATTTCATCCGCGCCCCGTCCCGGATAACAAACAACAAAATATACCTCATTTAAGACCCCTACTCCTCGACCCCTTTTGCTTTCTCTCTCTCTCTCTCTCTCTCTCTCTCTCTCTCTCTCTCTCCTGTGGTACTCTTCATCCTAGCTAGCTATTTTTTTTTCGTTCGAAGACATGGATATATTTATGAATACATAAACACACAACTCTCGGCAGCAGCACAGAGCAAAAAAAGAGACATGTCGTTTTTACGGCTTATTAGGTCTCGTTGTTTTTCCGTGCTTCTTTTTTTGCTCCCATGTTCTCTAGGAAGGGTTTCGTGGCTTCATTTTATGGAGACTTTCTGAACTACGGTAACCCTGATATAGTTCCTCCAATAGAATATTTCTGTACTTGCACTTCAACTTCCATTATCTTTGGTTAACAATTTCACCCTCTAATGCACCTCTTCTCACTTTGACCTCAACTATCTCGGTTCCTATAAGAGATATCGAAAAGTGCTCAACTGATAAAATATTGATAATATTATCACTAACATTTTAACAGTTGACGGTTTTTTGATATCTCTTATAGGAACCGAGATAGGTGAGCCCAAAGTAAACGTTACCGACCTGGTGCTCCATTCTAGGACCAACGTTGGGTGTCTCACAAAATGGCTTAGACTTTTTAAAAATATACTCAAAACTTTTAAAGGTTACTAAGATAACCTAGAGCTCTAATTTTGTAGTTGACAACTTTTTCGCACAAATTCACCCAAATAGATATGCCTCTTGGAAGATGGATTCATCGTCGAGCAGTCATCTTTTCAGGTCTCATTTGTAAAAATTATCTATTATCATCTATATATCTCACTTGGATGAATTTTAACGCAAAACTAGTCAACTACAAAATTGAAGCTCTATTTTTGTTTAATATGCTCTAAAATTTTCTAGTCAATCCAACACTTTACTCTACTGTACTTTTTAATCATTCAAAAATATCCATTTTCGAGTGTAATAAAATTTTATAAACTTTGAACTATTTTATCTCTGTTACTGTAAAAGATATCAAAAAGTCGTCAAATAAAAACATTTTTTAGATATTCCGGTTAACATTTCGTTAATAGACCCCTTTTTGGTATCTGTTACAGTAACCGAGATAAACAAGTTCATATTTGGCAGTGTGTTCATCGTGCCTTCAACTTTGACCTAATTTGTCTGAGTTGCTGTGACAGATATCAAAAAATGGCCAACTATCAAAATGTTAATCATAGTTTCAAAAACATTTTGTCAGTAGACCATTTTTTCCCATCTTTTACAGAAAGCGAGAAAAATTGAGTAAAAAATCGGCACATGTTTTTTTCCGGTATTTTACAAGAAACCATTATAAAGTCGTTGCAAACAACACTGATACTTCTTCCTTAAGCTATTCTAACTCTTCTTGCTCATTCATCTTGCTCTTTTCTGAAGAAGAAGAAGCCAATGATATCTCAACGATTCATCTTTCCTTCTTCTCCCGAGTTTCTTCGTCGTCGTCTCGTTTTGTATCTTCAGCGTCGTCATTTATATTTCTAATCTCTTATTTTTCGTTCGTCGTGTCGCCTTTCTCTATACGTCATAATTATGTGGTGACTCCTACGCTCGCTAAAAATGGGTTATAGTGTTTGGGGTGGATCTCAAAATGATTCTAGAAGGTTCTGAAATCCTAAACCGCCTTGCGCTCTGAGCCGTTTTTCAGCCGCTGCGCCTCCGGCGCTTATTTTTCCAAGTCCTTCCGTATCCCCAATTTCAGCCTAATTATCTCGGTTCCTATGAGAGATATCAAAAATTCGTCAACTGATAAAATATTAGTCACATTATGATAAATATTTCATCAGTTAACAAATTTTCAATTGCTCTGATATTCACCGAGATAATTGAGCTCAAAGTGCAAATACGATATCTATCGTAAAGACTTACGGTGAACCTGCACTCTGAGCTCAATTATCTCGGCTCCTGTAAGAGATATCAAGAGTTTGTCAACTAATAATTGTTCATCATAATGTGACTAATATTTTATCAGTTGACAAAATTTTGGTATCTCTTACAGCAACCGAGATAATTGAGCTCAAAGTGCACGTGTCGAGTTAATGTCTTCTTGATCTTCAGGTTACGGAAAGTCTGTTTGATCTACTTGGTCTGGAGGGATGAGTTCTCAAAACTTGTCCCACCCCTTCTTTTCTTCTTCTTCTTCTCCTTTTTTCTCAATTTTTATTCTCTCCCTCCAACCAACGGGGCGGGGTGCCAACAACACGAAATTGAGCTGAACTTTTGTCTCGTTTCCCCCCCATCGCGCGTCTTCCACCACTTCCTTGGACCACAAGAAGAAGAAGACGAAGACGATTCAGAAGACGTGAAATATTTTTTGAAGAAAAAAGGTCCCTGACGATGGGAAGAAGAGCTAGGAAGTAGAAGAAGAAGAAGGATGACAATGACAACAACCAGGAAAATATCGAATTTCGTATTTGGGGACGGGTGGAGTGAGGTGGGAGTAGGTTTCTATAAACATTGAATTCAATGAATGATTTTAGGTTATAAGCAGAAGGCAAATCTTTCTAATGGGGGTTTGACGGCTTCTCCTAGATTTTCGATTTATAATCTTACAGTAAGATATCGCATATTTTCTCCACTTTTTCGGTTAAAATATGATAACTTCTTGTGGGGAGTGTAGCATCCAACCCCCCCCCCCCATGGATCTGAATGAAAGTTGTTTTTTTAAAAGCAGTTTCATCCCTTTAAAGTTCAGTTTTGATAGCAAAATTTGCCAAATCCTAACAAAGACACTAGTCAACAGGGCCGATCCTGGTCGACCCCTCTTTTCGTTGGCATACTTGGGAGGCACATAACTTGGTTCAAATTTATAATTTCTGTTTGAATTATATATCAAAATGTAGAACTTGACAAGATCTACTATTTGATATCTAATTCAACTATGTTTGTATGCCGAAAATTGAACCAGAAGACGTAAAAGGTCGGCCTGGCCTGCCAATACCAGGTTCGGCCAATTTCGCGGATACCTGCTGTTTACGTCACCTGGATCTAAATTTGGCATTCAAAAATAGTTAAATTTAGTATCATTCAGTCAGTCTTGCCAAGCTCTACAATTTACGTTTTAATTCAAACGAAAATTCCAAGTTTGAACACAGTCATGCGCCTTTAAAATGTGCCAACCCCATCTCCTACCGTTTCGGATACATTTCCACTTCCAACTTTTCAACGGCTCTTGAGATACAACGAAAGGCAAGGGGCCAGATATCGCTCTAAAGGACACCTGAGCTTCAATTCCCTGTATCTCGAGACACATAATAGCTATAAAATTTTTGTAAACTATGAAAATGCGTTAAATTTAATAAGCTACAATTTGATGTAAATTTCATTAAAGTTGCTTTAGCGGTTCTTGAGATACAGTGGCTGAAAGGCAAGACGCCAGATATGTATTGCCGTTGCGTGCTAAAGGACACCTGAGCTTCAAGCCTCTATATCTCAAGACTCATATCAGTTATCAAAATTTAGAAAACTATGAATATGTGTCAAATTTGATGAGCTACAATTTGATATAAATTTCATTAAAATTTCTCCAGCGATTCTTGAGATGTAGTGGCTGAAACATCAAAGCCCTACTTTTCAATTCAATCCCATCGTCGGCATTTCAACTCCGAGAGAAGGCTCCATCTTTTGCAAAACAACTTCTTCTTTATTTTCCATACAAAATGAATTATTAGTCTTTCCATTTTCCCGAAATTTCCCTCGGTGTTACCCCTAGTTACCCCGAAATTTATATACTAAATTAGTATGTATACGAGGATGGAGGGAAAGAGAAAAGGATTATGTCGGAAATATCATGTCATCTGACTTCGAAGTGCACTGCACTTAAGAGCTTTTTTAAGAAGGATTGCTCAGCCCCAAGTGAATTTGAATTTTGTTTTTCTCTAAAAGTTTTTCAAATATCTTTTAAAAATGAGTCATTGGTTATGAATTATCATCATCCCGAATTTGTACCTCCTTCTTCTTCTCTTATCATCTTTCTCTTTTTTGTTATCACTGAAAATTCTCCCCCCTCCCTTGAAAAAAAGTCTGCTGTTTAAATTTCGCTCTTTTCCAATATCAAGACTAAAAAATTCGAAATTCGTTGCCTTAATTTGAATAATCCATTTAGGAAAGGAAAAAGAAGGATCAGTCATGGGTGTGTATAGTCGAATGGCTTCTTCATTTAAATTTCCGACTCTTTTTTTTGTTTTTTTCTTTTGGATAGTGATCGGGAAGGATGGAAATGTCTTCTTTTTCTCAGCGCTAAACATTTTTTGAGGTCATCAGTTTCCTTGTTCATCTAGACCAACTTCCAGGTTCTTTGCGTTTTAGGGGTCGAAAAACCCAAAATTTTGAAAAACCAATTTTCCCACTAGATTCCCCATGTCTTTTTACCCACAAACTGAAATTTTCAACTTTCTAGCTCAAAGTGTCGTAAGGTGTGGTGTATTGTCTGCAAACACCTAAATACAGTAAGGCCATATCTTAAGAAGTTACGAGCTGGAAAGCTAGATTTCTTACATCTTTTTACCTCTAGTCTGAAAATTTCAGCTTTCTAGCTCAATGTTTTGGAAGCTTACTGTATTTTGGTGTTTGCAGATAATACAACGTATCTTACGACACTTTGAGCGAGAAGGCTGAAAATTATAGAGTAGAGGTGAAAAGGCATGGGAAATCTAGTGGGGTAGTTGGTATTTCGAAACTTTGAAATTTTTTACAACATTTTCCATAAAATTTAACGCTTGTACAGAGGAGGAGTTACGGTATGCATTCTGACGTGATGGTGTACGACCGAAATTTTTAAACCCAGTGTCCTGTATTTTTCAACCCCAATTTCGAAAATTTCAGCTTCCTATCTCAAGTTGCCGTAAGATATGGTGTTATGGTGTTTGCAGACAATACAACACGTCTTACGACACTTCGAGCTAGAAGGTTGAAATTTACAGAGTAGGGGTAAAAAAGAATGGGAAGGGTTTTTGTCTGGAAGGAATTTGCAGAAAAGGTCATTATGATTATAATGACCTTTTTGAATGCACCTAGTTATTTTGGGAATATCTAATATTCCGAAACATGTTGCACTTTTTGATGGAACCACCCGCAACCCCATGGGGTCAATGCTCCTCCCTCTTTCTCTCTCCCAACTCTTTGTTTCTCCCACTCGTTTCTCTCACTCCCGACGACCCCTTTTATGGGGTATAGAGAGAGAGAGAGAGAGCCAAAACGCGCAGAAAAGAAGAAGGGAAAGGCTTGACACGCAAAACGCCTCTCTCAATCTGGCACACTGTTTTTGTCTGTCTCTCCACTCTCCCCCTATTCTCACAGTGTCTCACTTCTGAAGAACAGATGTGCTTGTCTTCTTTCTCTCTGTGTATGGAGGGGAGACTCTGGACCGCTGCTCTCAGGAGGGAGCTCTTCCCTCGCCCTTCCCTTCTTTTTTCTAAAACGGCCCTCCCGACGACGACCGACCGACGCCTTCTATTCGGTTTTGCGACGGCTCCCTTCTTCTCCCCCCATTTTTCCCTCTCCTCACTTATTTTTTGCTCTTTTCTCTCTCTCTCTCTCTCTCTCTCTCTCTCTCTCCTGTGGTACTCTCTTATCTCTCCGATCTTACAGATCTTTCCAAGATTCCATCTCATGCCATCGCAGTGTTAGGAACTATTTTCGTGTCGAGACCCACACCATCTAAGGAGCAATGACTAAGGACAGGTGAGTCACAGAAGCTTCTAGAAAATTTAAAAAACACTTCTTGCAGATTGGCCGCTCTAAAAGCGGCGCAGTCGGAAGACGAGCAAGATGATGATATGCACATGGAGACCGGAAATGCACAGTATATGGAGGAGTTCTTTGAGCAGGTAGGGTCTATTTTAAATTTGCTAAAACTTGTTGAAATTCTCTGAAATTTGAACTACAGCACCTGAAATTTTTAGTTGAAAATCGCCAACAAAGCCCTGTAAAACCATTAAAAAGTGGTCCAAAATTGTTTGATTTGTCTGAAAATTTTAGAGTATACTAAACAAAAATAGAGCTTCAATTTTGTAATTAACAATTTTTTGCTAAAAATTCATCTTGATAAGATAAACCGCTCAAAACAAGCCAAGTGCCAAAGCATCTAGAAACCAATTTCTAGCGCAATCAACTTTGAGCCAATTTATCTCGGTTCCTGTAAATGGTATCAAAAAATAGCCAACTAATAAAATATTTATCATAATATTACAAATATTTTATTAGTTGATAACTTTTTGATATCTTTCACAGTAACTAAAATATATAAGCTCAACGTTGACGGCACGCCAGTACACTGTCGACAGCGTTGGACACACTTCTAACGTTAAGCCCATATATCTCGGTTCCTGAATAAGATATCCAAAAATAATTAGCTGGTAAAATGTTTATCAAATTATCAAAAATATTTTATTAGTTGACCATTTTTTGATATCTTTTACAAAAACCGAGATAAATCAGGTCAAAGTTGACGGTTTGGTGGAGGTAGTGACGTCGGCATTCTGTTATAGCGCGATTTCGAGCGGTATATCTCCTCTGGATGAATTTGTACAACAAAATTGTCAACTACAAAATTAAAGCTGTGTTTCTATTTAGTATACTCTGAAATTTTCAGCTGAATCTATCAAAATCTAGTTTATTTTTTAAACATCCGGACTTTCGATTCCCAATTTGTCCAATTTAGGATAATAAATTTTTGGAGGGTACTGTATCTAAGTGCACAATTCCAGGCACCCCAGCTCTTCCTATTTTTCAACCAGCTGATGCCCAAAAACTTGTCAAAAAAGGATATTTCCTCTAAACATAGCTGTTCAAACACATACATAGCCTCACACGGGGGAAGGCAATGACACAGGAAAAAAATTTGATTGTGACGACAGATATTTCGCAATGTTGCTTTTTTCTCCCGTTCTTTTTCACTACCCACACTTTTTTTGGCACTTTGATATATATTGGAGTGTGTGTTATATGGCACGTTGCTCTCTGTTTCCCATGAGGGGGCCGATTGAATATTCATAGTTTTTTTCTTCGCAAGAGCTCCCAACTCAATGCTCCGCGACCTATTTTCAATTCATAAGAAAGAAGAAATCCTTTTGGAATTTTTCAGAATTCATGGGAATGAAAAGAAAGCTTCTTTCAGGTCGAAGAAATCCGTGGAAGTGTGGATATCATAGCGAACAATGTGGAGGAGGTCAAGAAGAAGCACTCGGCGATTCTCTCGAATCCAGTCAACGATCAGAAAACCAAAGAAGAACTTGATGAGTTGATGGCGGTGATCAAACGGGCGGCGAATAAGGTCCGCGGAAAGCTGAAATTGATTGAGAACGCGATTGAGCACGACGAGAATCAGCAGGGAGCTGGAAATGCGGATCTTCGGATCCGCAAGACTCAACACAGTACACTGTCGAGGCGATTCGTGGAAGTGATGACTGATTACAACAAGACGCAGACTGATTATCGAGAGAGGTGTAAAGGAAGAATTCAGAGACAATTGGATATTGGTGAGGGTTTCATTTGGTTGAATTGAATGCCTCTTTAGACGGAAATATGGGAAAAATTGAATTAGATTGATAAGATTCAATTTCCGTCTCGAGAATATCAGAACAAGACTTTTGGGGTACTGTACTACAACACTGTTGGGATGTGCAAACCATGGCCGCTGTCGGCCGCTACTCACTATCAAGAAAACCTATAGTACCGGTTGACTATTTTTAAGAGCCTAGAGCTCGACTTTCAAGTTTCCGATCACTTTGAAAAGTTTGAAGGGTTTAAAACCGAACTAGATCGAAAATTTTGCTTTTACAGAATTTTTTAAAAATTCCTTTTTTTTGCCGATTTCTGAAAGTCATCCCTTTCTATCTGATTTTGTACTGAAAACTTTGAAAAGCAGATGTCTTTCAGAAATCGGAAAAAGCTGAAAAACTAGATATTGCCAAAAAGTTCTGTCAATGTAAAGATGTCAAACTAGGTCTGTTTCGCATCCCTCAAAATGTTCAAAGTGATCGGAAACTTAACAGGCGAGCTCCAGACTAAAATCTACTGAATTGAATTAATACCCTGGGGCAAAAATTGAATTAGATTTGATAAGATTAGACTGGAGAAAATCAGATTTTTTTTAAAATTATAGTTTACCGTATTATGCTCCATTTTTAGCCGGAAAACAAGTCGGCGACGAGGATCTCGAGGAAATGATTGAAAGCGGAAATCCGGGTGTCTTCACTCAGGGAATCATCACAGACACACAACAAGCCAAACAGACGTTGGCTGATATCGAAGCGAGACACAATGATATCATGAAATTGGAGAGTTCGATTCGAGAGTTACATGATATGTTTATGGATATGGCCATGCTTGTCGAATCTCAGGTTAGATAAGGTTTTCGGGGTTCCGAAGATTTTGTGCCGGGAGCTTCTGGTCGGAAGTCAGTCTGGATAAGACCGCGCGTAAATCCGACAAAACTACGACAAACTTTTGACAAGGACCTAGTAGTAGGATCTTGGAGTCTTAGTAAAATTTCAACTTTCAACTTCCTACCAAAATCTGACCATGCTCCGTTATACAGCCGTTTTTGGGCTATTCTCGACCAGAACCTAGCGAATTGCCGTTTAAAAACCTCGATTTTTTACCATAATTTACAAGCCAACAACCGAGATGGCTCGGAAAAAAATCGAGGACTTTATTGGAACCTTTAGGATAGGTTACAGTCAGATTGGGTGAGACCTTTACTTCTAAAACTCACTATCAGGCAAATCAGCGTCGGCGGTTTCATCTAAAATGTTTTACATTGTTGTCAACTTTAAAGTCCTAATTTGCAGTTTAAATTTTTTGGAGTATTCTGAAAATCTCAGAGAATGCTAAACAAAAATAGAGCTTTAATTTTGTAGTTGACAACTTTTTTGGGAAAATTCAACCAAATGAGATATACATAGCACTGAAAAGGGTCATTATCGTAACCCCTTGATTCTCAACTTTGAGTCAATTTATCTCGGTTACTGTCAAATATATCAAAAAGTTGTTAGCTGATAAAATGTTTATCATAATAGCAGAAATATTTTGTCAGTCGACTAATTTTTGATGTCGTTATCAAAAAATGAGATATATGGGCTCAAAGCTAACACTCAAAAGACCGCTCTCAAAAGCAATTTCTGGAAATTTTGGCACTTGGGTGATTTCAAGCAGCATATCTCATTTGGTTGGGTTTGTACAGAAACATCTTCAACTGCAAATATAAAGCTCTATTTTTGTTTAATATACTCTGGAATTTCCAAACAGATTGAAAAATTCTGGACTACTTTTGTAATACTCTCAACTAAAAATAGGGCCAATTTGGCCTTTTCCAACTAAAATAGGGTTAAAATCGTGACGAAACCCAAATTTTCACCCAAAATCGTTTTCCAGGGAGAGATGGTAGATCGAATTGAGTACAACGTGGAGCACGCGAAGGAATTCGTCGACCGCGCCGTCGCCGATACCAAGAAAGCCGTGCAATACCAGTCGAAGGCGCGAAGGGTTCGTTTTTTACGCTTCTGGTGATACATATTGTAACTCTGTCGCTCTCTCTAATAATATTGCATGAAATTCCGATAAACCTATGTATTGTCATGAATGTCTGTCTCCGTGTATCCGTGGTTTCCAGATGAAATGCTATATTCTTGTGTTAGTTATCGTTGTCATTCTCGTCATCGTCATCGCCGTCGTCATTTGGGTCGTCGTCTCCAATGCGGCGACGTCGGCTGTGATACCATCGTCTTCTTCCTCAAATTCTAATTCTGCTCCACAACGTTTTCGTGTTCGGTGAAAGTTTTTTAAAATGTGCTTTATTAAAAAATTGGGTGCTTTAAATGTGATTTATATCGTACCGTATTTTTGTCATTGTCATCGTTGTCTCGTTGTCTTTGTATACTGTATTTAAGCTCAATTATCTCGGTTCCTGTGAAAGCTATCAAAAAATTGTCAACTGATAAATTGTTTATCATTTTATTAACTATATTTTATCAGTTGACAATTTTTTGATATTTTTCACAAAAAGCTAGTTAAATTGGCTCAAAGTTGGCAGTTGTGTAAGGTCGTCGCGACGGCTCCCCATAGCAGTCACCTTTGAGCCAATTTATCTAGTTTCCTGTAGAAGACATCAAAAAGTTGTCAACTAATAAAATATTTATCAGAAAATTCCCAATATTTTACTAGTTGACAATTTTTTGATATCTCTCGTGGGAGCCGAGATAATTAAGCTTCTATTCTGTAATTGTGCAATTGTTAAATTATTTTGTCATAAATTATTTTTCTTTATGTTCCCTCTAACCATTGTCTTCTCTTTTACAGAAGAAGATCATCATTTTGATCGTCGTCACCGTCATTATTGTCATCCTCTCCCTGTGGCTCATCCAGTATATCCCTGGAATTTAAAAAAAGCTCCGCCCACTTTGTGTCACGCCTTCCAACCAACCAACCAAAACCAACCCCTAACCCTGTGTCATTTAAACCACAAAAAGTATTAAAAACACGGCTCCCATAAAATGAACCAAAATTCTTTGCTAAGCTAGATATTCTAATAACATAAAGATGATGCAATCGCGCTCTATCGAATTATCAAATATTTCGGTAGAGCACAATTGCTCACACTCAAAAAAATCACCGTAGATTCTAGAGGATAGCGCTAAATATTCAATTTTATATTATTTAAGACTTTTAATTTATAAAAAAAAACAAATTAACTTATTTCCTAATATAACTCTGGCTTATTTTAAATGCGCTTTGCGGTCGAAGTGGGCGGAGCTTAGGTCCGGTAGCGAAATTCTTAAAAGAGAGTGTATTTTTAAAGTTATTTTTTGACCGATTCTTTCGATTCATAACTTTTTCTCATAAAAATCTGAAAAATTGCGAAAAAAATTGACGAAAAGGCGATAAAATACATCGAAAATCGAAAAATTCCTTCTCTGATCTATTTTATCGATTTTTCGGAATTTTCATAGTTTTTTTGCAATTTTTTTTCGAATTTTTGTACTTAAAAAGATCAAAATAGATAAAATTCACCGAAAAATACTTGCTCGTTTAAAGATTTTGCTACTGGACCTAAGCTCCGCCCACCCTTGGTTTTCCAGCTACGCATTGAAATAAGATCATTGTTATAATAAAACTGAGATCTGAAAAACTGATTTTTGAGATTTTCTGAAATTAAATGTCGTAATTTCAGTGAGAAATTCTGATCGCTAGCATCTCTAGAATCAGTTTTTTATCCGAAATTTCGAATGTGTCAGTTTTTCAGGTCTCCGATTTTTAAGTCGTTCCCGCCTTTCTCTCTGTCCCCCCGCAATACCTTAAAATTGCCACGTCATCAAATTGTTTACTCTTTTTGTATCCCCACTGCCTTTTTCTCTCTCTCTCTCTCCCTTTCCTCCCAATTGCGCTTTTTTTTATTTTCTAATTTCCCCCCAAAAAAAATTCTCTCGACCAAGCAATAGTTTCTGGAAAAGCATCCCGTAATAGATCTCTCACAAAAAATTGTTTTTTCGCTTTTTTTTTAATTTTAAATTATTTGAATTTATTAACCTAAAAATAATAAATCATGTGCAGAAAAAATATGTGTTCTCTTGTCCTTTTTGTTTCCCTCACCAACCAACACAAAAAGGATTCAAGTGCCAGGCGTCAACTTTGAGCCCACATATCTCGGTTCCTGAGATAGATATCAAAAAGTGGCCAACTGATAAGATGTTTATCATAATATTTAAAATATTCTGTCGGTTGACAACTTTTTGATATCTCTTACAGGAAATGAGATAAATTGGCTCTAAGTTTTGGTTGCGGTTACAGTAGTAAGACAATTTTGAAAAATAAAAAAATTTGCAGAAGAAGATTTGCATTCTTGTCACCGGCGTCATCCTCATCACCACATTAATTATTCTGATCCTATTTTGGACGAAGCTCATTTGAGTTTTTTTTATGTCTCGTGTCATAAAACATTTTTCAATACGAGTTATATGGAAATCAATTGTATATTTTGCATTGAAACTGAACTATAAGATAAAAAGAAACAGCACAAAACATAGCAGAAGAAATTAAACATTTTTCAAATAATTCAAACCAACAAGTTCGGCTCATATTGGAACATTTTGCATTTTCCAGCTTTAACGTCCTACAAGAGTGGTCCAGAATTTTTCAAGTTTTCTGAAGATCGCAGAATGTACTAAACAAAAATAGAGCTTCAACTTTATAATTGACCACTTTTTTGTACAAATTCAACCAAATGAGATAAACCGCTTAAAATCGCCATTACCGCATTAATTGAATGAACACCTAACTTTCCATTATCTCATTTCCTAGGAAAGATATCAAGAAGTAAAATGTTTTTTACATTATGATAAGCATTTTATCAGAAGACAGATTTTTTGATTTATCGAGCTCAGAGTTAACGGTTTTAGTGGGCTTCTATTACAGGGAGCACGGTAATTATCAATGCAAAACGGCTAGCGCAAGTGATTATCTTTTAAAGTTGTGAACTGTAAAGTAGAGTTCTTGTGGTGAGTCAACTTTCCATGGACTGAAAAACTCAAAAAAAAAGAAAGTCAGCCAATATAGAAAAACGTTAAGAGACCTCACAGAACTATGTAAAGTTTCCGCTGAAAATGGTGGCCTAGGTGGTGGCCATCGCTCATTCAAGGACCTAGGTATACTAGTTGATGATCAACTTCAATTCGACAAACACATCAATCTTATTGCCTACTCTGCTAAACTCAAGTCCCGCCAAATACTGAAAACGTTCCAATCGAAAAACCCTTGTTTATATTTCCGTCTCTTCGACACCTACATTAGACCGGTCCTCGAATACGGTTGTGAACTTTTCGATCCATCCAATGCCACACTTGCCAATAAACTAGAATCTCCTCTTCGTTATTTCACCAGAAAAGTCTTCCAGGGATGTAATATGCCCTTCAATTCATACACCGATCGCCTATCCCAGTTCTCTATGCTAACCACCCTTCATCGCCGCACCCTTCTAGTTCTTCGTACCTATCACAAAATTGTTATAAACTCATACCATTTTCCCTCTATGTCGTCCTACATTCTTCCCAGCCATTCTAACAGAGCCCCGTATTTGTTCAAAATCAACGGTCAATACTTTGACTGCTTCTTTCACAGAAACTTGTCTATGTGGAACCGTGTATGTAAGGTGATAAATTCTAAGCTCAGTCCGGTGGCGTTTGCTAAGCGAGTAGGAGCGATTCTTTATGATATTCTGATCCCTCCCACTTGACCTACAGGACTCTAGTCGGTCCGTCTGGTCATTTTACTTTTTTTATTTGTACATGTCCCATTTCTTGCCAAATTATCTATTGATTTCCCCCATGCATTGCAAATAAATATATTATTATTAGGCATTCTTCAAATTGAAAAGTTAGAAAACGTTTCCACATTCCAGAATTTAATAATCTTCAGATCTCAAAAAATAACTGTTTTCAGGAAATTAGGCCTCGAATAAAATACCATATTTCCTTTAATAGAAGATCACTCGCCCTCAAATCGTTATATTTAAGCCAATATATCTAATTTTTTGTAGAAGATATCAAAAAGTATGAACTGACAAGTTTTTTGTTATATTATGATGAATATTTTGTCAGTTGATCACTTTTTGATATTTCTTACAGGAGCCGAGATAAACTGGCTTGAAGTTGACGGTTTGCGGGTTACCGTGTACGATAACACTGAACAATTCAAGCGCGCTACACCGGACCATTCAAACAGTGCCTTTCGGAAGAGTGAGGAGACCCAGAGATATAGGCAATTTTCCCAATAGCAAAAAAAGTGTTTTTAAATTGTAAATCTCGACTATTACATAGTGAGCTATGAATAATTATGAACAGGTAAATACATTGTCCTACTTTTAACCGTCTATTTAATTAAATTTCAGATCGGACCGTTGGCTATGCCTTATAATGAGTTTGACATCCAGATTGCCGATATTACCGAAACGAAATTGGAAGAGGTTTTTTATTAAATTCCACTTTCAAAACCTCCAAAAAATATATTATAGATTGGATTAGCTGAGGAAGTTGGCCATCTGAGCCCAGGAACATTTGACAACCCGGCGTTTCCAGTTCATGGAATCTTACATGGACTAAACCTCAGACTCATGGTCCCATTGACCTTCCAAAGGTTCCGAAAACCAGATTCTCCGATTTTGAATGTCTGGTGTCTCGTTTCAACGGCAAGTCCATTCACTTGTCTTACTGTAAAGACAATGGAAGCATTGCTGGGAGCTGGGAACGTTGTCGACGGCATGTTTTGTTCATTTTCAATTCAGGTTTGTTGAATTTTTCTTTGAAGGCGCAAGAGCAAAAACTACCGTATTATCCTTGTCAGAGAAAAAAAAGGTTGAGTCGAAGTGTATGCGATGTTTGTAAACAAATATCTGAAAGCGTAAACAACCGGAAACAGTTGAAACGAGTGCGACAGTAACCCGGCGGGAAAATATTAAATTTACTCATGTCTTAGCTTTTCGCA